ACGATCCCATTTTTTTTTTCACTCTCTCTCTCGCTCTAGCAACCTGTTGCTGATTTGATGTTTTTTTTTGTTTGTTTTTTTTTGTCGGTTGGGTTGACGAATTCGGTTGCTCTTGCGAGTGTTTGGAGTTGGTTGCGTTTGATTCAGTGGGGTAATCTCTTGGCGTCGAGAGCATTGCGACCTCTTCGCGAGAATCCGTGGTTGATTCCGACGCGCGCGTCGTGCTTTTTTGGTGCTGATCCGAGCTATCTGTGTGGTTTTGTTGACGTGCAGAGAATGGCGCCGCCGCGGACGACGGCAGCGGCGTGCCGGTGTTCGCCGAGTACAGCCTCGACGAGCTACGGGTGGCGACCGACGGGTTCTCTCCCGAGCGCATCGTGTCGGAGCACGGCGAGAAGGCGCCCAACGTCGTCTACCGCGGCACCCTCTTCAGCACCGGCCGCACCGTGGCCATCAAGCGCTTCGGCCGCTCTGCCTGGCCCGACTCCCGCCAGTTCTTGGTTCGTGCAGCTTTGCTCCATCTGCATCAGTGCTTGCCTTGCCTTCGCCGCTTCGATTGAATGGCTCCGTTCTTGCGTGTGTGTGTGTGCAGGAGGAGGCGAGGGCTGTCGGGCAGCTGCGGAGTGTCCGGCTGGCCAACCTGATCGGCTGCTGCTGCGAGAATGGCGAGCGGCTGCTCGTCGCGGAGTTCATGCCGCACGAGACCTTGGCAAAGCATCTCTTCCACTGTATGTGTTTGGTGCTCACCTTTTTTTTCTTCTTGTTCTATACTAGCTGCAGCTACATATTGGGCTTTGGCAAATGTTGTTTCCGATTTGGTAGTACAAATGTAGGCATCAAAGATGATAAGATTGGGCCCCTTATTTAAGGATGGATGTGTTTTTGTCACCTGAATCTAATGTTGAATTGTTGCTTTCAGTTGGAGACGGTTGAAGTAATTCCTTCAACAAACTCTTTTTGCTGTTTCTTTTGTCTGGTCCTACATTTGTTCTTCTGGGTTAACTAGAAATTAATGCATTTATTCTTCTATAAATGCTTGTTATTAGTGTTCTGTTTGGAGTACTACACTAGTAGTTGGCATCAAGATGTTTTCATTATTTATTGCCTTTCTAGAATATATATCCAACTCAATTGCATCTAAGGTTCTTAGTATGGGTTATGGTAAATTGGAGAGCTTTTGCCTCCTGTTGCATTTAACGTTTTCAGTAGGAGTAGACACTTTGCATTTGGATTATCTACATTTTGCGCTCATGGTGGTTATCCTTGGCAGGGGAGACAAAGCCATTGAGCTGGGCAATGAGGGTACGAGCTGCATTCTATGTGGCTCAGGCATTGGAGTACTGCAGTAGCAAAGGGAGAGCTCTCTACCATGATCTGCATGCATACAGGGTTCTCTTTGATGTGGTGAGTCAGTACCTGTGCTACTTAGTAACTTCTTAGCTTGGGCTTCCAGTAATAAGGCATGTAATGTTTTGATGATAAATCATAGGATGGTAACCCCAGACTGTCGTGCTTCGGTCTGATGAAGAACAGCAGGGATGGGAAGAGCTATAGTACCAATTTGGCTTTCACGCCTCCTGAGTACCTTAAGACTGGTATGTGTTGTGCATACAAGCAAGTTTTTTTCTGTGAGTTATGCATTTCATGAATTTTATTTGTTAATGTTTGATCATGAAGTAAGGACTTGTAATATGAGCGTAATATGAGCTAACTCTTAGACACTTGTTGAGTATGTCCATGTTCTTTGCTAGTTATTTTCCCCAGTGGGGTAAATCATTCTATGCAAATGTTATTGCTGGGTTTCCATTGTTTATTTTTAGCTATTCACACCTTGTTTATTTTTAGCTATGGTACCATGGTTATGAACCACAGACATTAGGCAACAACGTAAGCTGCACGGACTTGTTTTTCATGAAGGGATAGTATTTAGCATTCGACCTCTCTCATAGTGAAGCAACAGAATTCTGTGTTGCAAAATCTACCTCGTTTTCTTATGACTTTGTCCATCAAAGACACAGTCTCTATTTCTTTACTAACCACTACATTTTCTGCAGGCAGAGTAATTCCAGAGAGTGTGGTGTACAGTTTTGGTACTATCTTGCTTGATCTCCTAAGTGGAAAACATATCCCACCAAGCCATGTAAGTTATCTATCCTTCCTGCTTTTCTGCTTACCCAAGATAAGTATTCACTTTGCTTGGTTTTGCTGTAGGCGCTTGACCTTATAAGAGGAAAAAATTACCTGGTGTTGATGGACTCTTGCTTAGAAGGCCATGTCTCCAGCTCTGATGGAACTGAGTTGATACGATTAGCATCCCGTTGCTTGCAGTATGAAGGTCGTGACCGGCCAAACCTGAAATCGGTGGTGTCTGCTCTTGGAAACCTCCAGAAAGATGCTTCTGTAATGTTTCTTTTTCTTGCTACTTTCTAGACTAGTAACAGTATTGTGTAATATTGAAAAAGCTGCAGGAAAAAAACTCCACACAATCGTTTGATAACTATTTTGTCTTCTGTCAACGTGCTACCTTTGCTTTTCATTTGATATTATGTTAGCATAAATGGTTTTTTGAAGTATGCGCCAACTCATCTTTCTCCTTATTAATGTGTCGCGCCTGCCAGCTTAATATTTCTTACTCGATGTTTAATTGTCTGTGCAGGCTCCTTCACATGCTTTACTAGGCATACAACATGATAAGGAAAATACAGAGCGAATTTCGTTATCTGCTATAGCGAAAGTTTATGCCAGAGCAGACCTTGATGAGGTTCATGAGATGCTGGAGAATGATGGATATTGTGAGGATGAAAGAGCAACATTCGAGGTATTAACTTTTTGTCAGTTAAGCTTATCATAATGAAATATTCTTGTTGGTACCATAGATCCTTCCCTAACTCATTGCTGCCATTTCCCTAAAAAGGAATAAACTGCCGGAACTTATTACTACATTATTGTCATCTTGGAATATTTCAATTGTGTAGATGAAACAAAATATGTTGAAAGCCCACACATTTTGTGGCATAGGATAGGAAGAAAGTAGATGGTCTATGTTGATGCCCATGCTCTTCGACCAATGAAACCTAATGGTTAGCTCATGTTTTAAGTGCCATTCTTTTGAGCTCGAGGCTAAACTTTTAACTAGTTTGACCATGCTTATTTTTATTGCTCTATAGGTCTGAAAGTACAATAGAACATTTATGTATCTTTTGAAGATATATTATACATCCATCAGTTGACCTGTAATATATCCCATACAAAACTTAACTTCTCACCATGTTGGCTGGTCCAAGTTTTTTTAACGTGAAGGTTTTCCATGTTTTCGCACTGCTCCCGTTCATATCTGACCCATACCTTAAAAATTTGGTGTATATAACAGGTATCTTTCCATTCCTGGACTGGCCAACAAGTATCTGATAGTATTCTTGTCAAGAAACATGGAGACAGTGCTTTTCAATCCAAGGATTTTGCGACTGCAGTTGAGTGCTACTCAAGGGTATGTATTAGAGTATCAAATGTTGTCCATGAATCTAATTCACTTTCCTGTATCTATACTCTGTTTTCGATAGCCTCGCTGCTTGTACATTAACAATTACTTTTCCTCAAATTAAGATTATGGTTAAAAAAACTGTGTTCCTGATTGATTTTCAGGTTGCTAAGCTGTGTTTTTAAACATTTTGCAGTTCATTGACACTGGTGTAATGGTGTCTCCGACTATGCTGGCACGACGAAGTTTCGTATACATGGTGCTCGGCAAGCTGCAAGAAGGCCTTGCGGATGCAAAGAAAGCAGCAGACATATCTCCTGAGTGGCCTACTGCACACTACCTTCAAGGGATGGCATATCTCGCCATGGGAATGGAGCCTGAAGGGCATGAAGAACTCAAGCAAGGCGCCGCTTTGGAAGCTGAAAGGAATGCTAGATAGAGATGAACTGTATAGCCCTCAAACATGATGTGATGCCTCCTCTCTTCTGTACCTAGATCGCCTGCATTTTGGGTGTCCTCCAGTGCTTTGCCACCAATAGGGCTGTTTTTTGGTCTTCCCTAACTTGTATTGGTATTTCCAGTGGTTTTACAACTCCTAGGTTGGCTGTTATGACACCTCCAATATATTCATAAGTACAAAAAATGGGCAACTAGCATTCAAATAGCAAACCGTGGATGTGAGATTGTAAAGCTTTAATGTTATTTCGTCACAATTCATGTATATACACAACTTGCAGACTTTTCTGAGGCGTCAAGAGTTAAAGACTGTTGTGAGTAATCAGCCATTTTTCATGCGTGTTCCAGTGCAACTGTGCAAATACCCGATGTTCTTTTTCTGATTAGTAGAACACGTATAACGTATTCTTGATGCTATAGCACCGGTAAATAATCATTCTATGGCTTAATGCTATCATTATTTTAGCCAATTAATGGCTGAGAAAAGTAGGGGAGTCATATATGGTACCAATTTTCTTTAAAACAGGAGTTCAAACAGTATTAAACTAGATGGTTACCCAGGCGTTGATACAGAAGAATTATGTTATAGTATAGTAGATAGTAGATACAAGTTCTACAATTTTCTTTCTTACCTACTATACTATTTTTTCCATGTGTTAATATATTTTTATACCTTTATCAATTACTATTTTTTTCATGTGTTTATATATTTTTATACTGTTATCAATTACCCAAAGGTTAATGATTAGGCTGTATAGTGTCTTTTGGAGAAAGAGATGCAATTTACATTCTAGATGAATCATTCAAAGGCTAAAAACAATTAAGATGATGTGGCTTCATAAGTAGAGTGAATTAACATTAACTACACTTAGTATATATAGGATTATTTATCTGTTTGTAAGAAAATTTTCTTGCGATTTTTCCAGAAAACCACACATGGCTGCATTTGGATTGCAAAGACTAACACTGGGTCCTCCAGTTCGCTTTAAACATGACTTAAACAAAGCAAAAGGTTAGAACAGTCCAGAATAAATTGTCTCAACGGACAGATATTCAGACAGGCAAGTATAACAAAAGAGAGCATCATTTCGCAGCAAAAATCGTCGTCTAGCTGTACCAAATTATTATAGGCATGTGGCCTGTTCATGATTCAGGGAGAAGGTACACCATTGGAAAGGAACATTGCAATTTCTTTTCGGGCAATCCATTAGTCGGTCACACTCACTCGTGCTGTGTACTTCTGGCAATCGGTAACATTCTAAAACCAATGTGGAGAAACATAGCGACAATGGTCTGGCCTAATGCTTCTACTGCTTCTCGCCTCACATCTGAGGCCGGTTACCGAGCATCTGACCTACCATATTAGTTACCTGAAAAAGATTTTAACCCAAAGTTAGACTTAGTGGCGTTGGTAATTTGGTACAAATGGAAATAAATTGATACAAATAGAAATAAATTGATACAAATAGAGCAAAATTAACCCAACAGTCATTTCAAATGAATCGGGAAAATAGTATTCAGTGTTCAGACGAGGGGAAAACTCGAAATAGAAAAACATGTGCTCTGCATGGATTTCAACCACTGCCTATATGTCCAACTATACAAGGCGTGAAGATCTATGGAACTCATATTCAATGACATTTGTTCAAGGATGAACCCTATGATTTAGTAAGATGATCTAAATTCTCTGGATGGAGATCAGATGCACTAAAAAGATGACTTTCTTCACAACACAAAGTAGGAAAGACAGTCATGATACATATTCAGCATGTTACCACCAAGCTAACTATTGCTATAAAAACTCCAGACATCTGAATCAGCATCAAGCATGACAGCAAATATATAATTATCAGTTAACTTGCCTGCCAGTACTTCGAAACACATCGATCAATGCAACTGTTCTCACCCATATTGAGCTCAGCTTCTTTATACCTGTTGAAATAGAACAAATCCCAGGGGAAAATGCACAGTTAATTCAACAGATGATAGTTACTAGAGAACAAGACACATGATGAATAGAAATGCCCAATATTGGTCACCTTAGTTGAAATATATTGATATAGATATATTCTTTACCAGCAATATTTTAGTCTATCATCCCACAACCATGTATGAGAATGCTAATTGAAACCAAACAGAAGGATGAGAAAATAACAGCATGAAACGGATAACTCAGCTATGTGAAACTTAACCAGACGATATGTACCTTTTCTCAATGCACTTGTCAAAACAAGTCTGTGTAAGTCTGCATAAAGGAAAAGGACACAAAGGCGTCAAATTAGTGCCAAAAAGATGACCAGGAGTGATGTGGGCTACTGGGCCAATCAAAATTACCACTCAATAAGATACTTAAATACTAGAATCGCACAAAGCATCTCAGTACAAACAAGGGAGAACGTTGCTAAAATATACCTGGGCCTAAAAATATATTAACTACCTGCCCGCAGAAACTTAACATTGCTAATGCCAACCTAATTGATCACTTCTATTTATCACCGAAAATATTGGGTGCTAACAGATAGTATAGGAAGTACAACTTGCCAGTAACTACAGATATGCGATATATAAACCACGGAAGTTCTATATTACGCTGCCAGTACAAGGATGAAAACTAATAGCCCAGTGTTAACATCGTTGGCCAGATAATAATATCTCACTCTAGTTCTTAAAAAAAATAAAGATATCTCACTCTCACTGTAATTAGATTGACAGAAACTAAGTTTGTTTAATGCTTTACTTCTTGAAAGATTCGTGATATCAGAAGTCCCAGATAGTAGCAATTAGCAAAGCATACAAGGAGTGTATCACTCACCGGTTGAAAAGATCGACCCGGTACTCCATCTCCTTCTCCATCATCCCGAACATCTGCCCAGCCACAGAACCACGACTTCAATCGCACCACGAACTTTATATCGACAAAAAAAAAAGAAAAACAAAATGCAGAGGAAAGATGGACGCACACACACCTGCTCCTTCTCCAACTGGGTCGGCTCGGGTTTCGCCGCCATAATTGCTGCTCTTTGCTCCTCAACTGCAAAGCAGGAAACCTAAGGAACCCATACCCCCAAATTGCAGGCAAACGAACCGCTCGAGGAAGGAGAAGAGGAGGGAAGCTTACCCGGAAGGAGAAAAGGCCGGAGATCTCGCGATGCGGCGGTGGGAATTGAGATGCCGCGAAGAGCAGCGCGCCTCCAGAAGAGAAGAAGACCTGATGAACCCTTCCCCCAATTCTAGGGTTTTGTTCTCAAGCGGAGGAACCAAAACAGCCACGTTTTTATGGGCCGCATCCTCATGGGCCTCACGGCCCGAATGATACTCACCGACAACTTGGGCCCACCTGTGAGCACCGGGTAATGTTTTTTAAGTTTTTTTCAGAAATCCAAACTCTTCTCGTGTCAAAAAAAAAAAAAAAATCCAAACTCTTCTCTCTCGTCTCGTCGCGGAGGAGGCCATGAGCTTGGCTTATCCGCTCCTCCGCCTCCCATGCCGCTGCTCGCTGGCGGCGGCGGCGGTGCCGGCGCCGCCGAGGGCGTCGCCTGGGCCTACTATATCGGTGTCTATGTCCGTGGATGGGGGTGAGGGGGAGCTGACGGGGAGGGAGAGGCGGAAGCAGCGGGGGGAGAGGCGGGAGCTGCGGGCGCGGGACTGGAAGGAGGAGGTGCAGGAGCGGCTCATCCACGAGCCGGCGCGGCGGCGGAAGAAGCCACCCAAGAGGACGTGGAGGGAGAACCTCAACCTCGACTTCCTCGCCGAGCACGGCCCGCAGTGGTGGCTCGTGCGCGTCTCCATGGCGCCCGGCACCGACTACGTCGACCTCCTCACCAAGGCGATCTCACGACGGTACCCGGAGCTCTCGTTCAAGGTCTCTCGTCTATCCTCTTCTCCTCTCAGAAGTTAACAAATTATTTGCTTCTGTGCAGCGGAAGCATTCCGCTGAACATTGTACATTCGAATTATATCTGCTTGTTGGTCTGTGCAATATGTTGTTAGATGTCAGATGTGCCAATTATATTAGATTATGAGCAACATTAGGACGCAAATTACTGGCATTGTTAGAAATGTTAGATTTAACATGAAAAATCTTATCGTTACACTATCATGTGTTGTAGGTGATTGGTCATAAGATGCCTGCTGAAATGCATATGATAAACTTAATCTGTTGGTAGTGAAAATTAGTCGTTTGTTATATCCATTTAACCTTTTCCGGTTCCTGTTAATGTAAAACTGTAGCTGTGGTTAGTTCGGTAACTTAGTACCCCCAATGTGCAGTGTTGTGCTACTGAATGGATTTATTTGCATGCCTTGCTTTCAGTACTATATGTCTGACAAAATATTTGCAGATTTATAATCCATCCATCCAAGTCAAGAAGAGACTGAAAAATGGTTCAATCAGTACCAAATCAAAGCCTTTGCATCCCGGGTTGGTCTTTCTGTATTGCACCTTGAACAAGGAAGTTCATGACTTCATTAGGGACACTGAAGGTTGTTATGGTTTTATTGGAGCTACAGTTGGCTCTATGTGGGTATTCTTCATTTGATAGCTTCTGAATTAGCATTTATATTTTTTTAGATGTTCCTATTCTTGTTGAAATTAGCTTTGATTTTATGGCTGTTTTTTTTTTTTTTGGAAAAACTACCTCAATATCTCATCCTGGATTTCTTTAGGTTAACTTGAAAGTTGAAATTTTAGGTTGCAGATATGTCAAAGCAAATATTACTTGCCATCTATAAGTTGAGAGTCATCCTTTAACCCCACAAGGTGACTGACATGCATCACACCATGTTTCCTCAAAACCATAAGCTACTTGGTTAGTTATTATCTGGATTTCATCAGAGTGAAAGTAGCAATCTTCGTTCAAAGGCAATAACTGACTGTAGTTGTAAAAGTGCAAATTATAGAAGATGGAAAGTCTAAGATCAGAATATAGCAAAGTACATTATCCATTTCCTTCTTTCTAATATCATCTTTTCATTTGTGCCTACCTTCACGCTATATTTTTGTAATGCAGCAAAAGGCAGATTAAAAAGCCTAAACCTATTCCAGTTGAAGAAGTTGAATCGATTATTAGGGAAGAAAAGGAGGAGCAAGAGAGAGTTGACAGAGAGTTTGAAGAAATGGAAAATGGAGGAATTGTCGAGTCTTTCAACAAACCCGTTGAAGATTCTGAACTCATGCTAATGAATAAGATCAAGAGACAGTTTAAGAAACCAATCTCAAAAGGTGGCAGCAACCACAATGCTTTTACGCCTGGTGCTAGTGTTCATGTTCTATCTGGGCCTTTTGAAGGCTTCACTGGTTCACTCCTGGAAGTGAATCGCAAAAATAAGAAGGTTAGGCTGATGATAATTCCATCTAAGAACATCGCAAAAATCAGTGAATTAATTGTATGGTAATTTTCCATTACCTATTCTTCCAATATTGCTTGATTATCTAAGAACATGTTATATATGTACCTCCCACAGGCCACTCTTCAGTTGACACTTTTTGGGAAGGAGAGCTTTGTGGATCTAGATTTTGATCAAATTGAGGCAGTTGATACTTGATGGTGAAAAAAAGTATGATCACTGACCCAATGAATTCTGGTTTTCCTAGCAATAGCATTATGAACTAATACTTTCCAAGAATCATGGCTCCTGAGTAATGAGCATGCCTAAGCGTCTGCCATTCTGGTTGCATCAGGTGGTCAGGAAAGCAATAACTTAGGAAGTACTAGTAGTACTTCTATAGCAAGCAGGAAGTTAGCATACAAGTTAGATTTTCATATGTTTCATGTACGAATGGGCTGAGAAAGAAATGATTTACATGCACAGTATGTGATTTTATCATTTCTGTGACAGACTCCAGAGTCCCCAGGTTATAGGATAGAACTTATGTTCTATTATTGTGCTGCAATTATTCATGCAACCCAATCTAAGTAAATCAAGTTTAGTTACGATACTAACAATACATAAATTTACTGCTCTAGAAAATGTTAGGACATCTCCAATTTCCATCATATAGGACATTGCTTCTTGGCATAATATTTTGCCTTTTTTCTTAACAGCCATTCAAAAAGAATATTTTGATAACTGTTTAGCTCCCCCACACTATAGCCGCAGGAGAGGTTGTTTCTGATTTTATGGGTTTATATCCTCCTTCCATAAGTTTGTGTTTCTTGTCTGAGCAGAAGTCTTGCGGATCATTAGCTTTGATCAATACAGCTGGGGCCTGGAGGAAATAGCTAAGATTGAATCCATTTAACTTTGAGTAACTACCGTGACAAAACTGTTAGCATACGGGCTACCTCAAGAACTGACCTGTAAGTTTTCTTTTCACTAACAAGTATAGTATTTCATACTAGGCGACCGGGTTTTGACGTTTCCATTTCTGATGAAAGAATATTTATAATGTTTTACAGGAGTTACATGACCACATGAGGGCTAGATTTGTCGGACAAGGAAAGTCATGTAGAAAACAAGGTTCAAACTTTTTAGGTTGGTATTTTTAGATGCATAGGCTATTCATTTCAAAATTTTGGTTCGTACCTACATTTATCAATAAATTCAATAAAAGAAGAACAATTCTTTGCACAAGGGTTTTGTTCTTATGAGCATTTAGATCCCCAGTGTCACTTCACCATGTGTATTAGGCTATCTTCGTGTTCCACTTTGCTTCTTTCTTTGTTGATTCCTTAGCTACGAGATCACTTTGGAGAAAGACCCAATTCATCTTTTATTAAATTGTTTAGGCAAAAGCTTCTGAGAACAAAGGGATCTGCTTCTTCCCCTTTTCTTTTACTGTAGTTTCTGGAGATCTGTTTGCGAAAGACAAACTGTGCATTTCTTCACCTGAACAGCTCTATCATGCAACATGTTTTCATGCTTTTAAAAGGCACAATACCTTGATCTGAACAAGATACAAATTCATTCTTTTGATGAATATACATTGAGCAACATACTGTTCTTTCCTTGTGTACCATGCCTAATGTTTTTAAATTGCAGAAAATCTATCTAAACAGATCTAGCCTGTCCTCTGCCCAGCAAGAATGATCTAGTAGCCTTCAACTTCTTCAATTAACAGACTAATAGCAACACATCATAAATGCCAATTAAGGATAGTACTTCTTTGATGTCATGTGACAACTACTACCACATCTTCTGAATGATAGAGTGCCTTCTTAATTATCCATCATACTCAAGCCCACATCTTGCGATGATCATACTGATAGTACACATGACCCAGCTAATACTCCAGTACCAACCCCTACTTTGACTAAATAATAGTAATAGTACAACATGATCATACACCCAATTCTCTTACCCATGGATTACTTCAGATAAGAGGTTGCTAAAATGCTAAATAGAACAGTAAGTAGACTAAATGGTTCATCCTTCATTTCTGGAGTAATCCAAGTCTATTACACATGTAATTAAGCAGCTACTACTACAACACTTGCTTCCACCAATCAACTACTCCAGCTAAGGAAGAGGCGATCCGTGCATTGCGTATCCTGTCACGGTCGGCCACCGCGCGGCACGAGGTAGACCCGGGCTCGCACCACGGCGCCATTGCCCAGCCGGAAGCCGGGCGCCACGGCGAACCCGACGACCATGCCGGCGGCGCCGCCGCCGCGCCCGCCGGCGACGCTCTCCATGTAATCCGGGTGGAACTCGGCGCCGCGGCCGGCCTCGAAGTGGCTGGGCGGCGTCTCGAGCGCGAACGCCAGCAGGTGCAGCATCCACACCGCCTTCGCGGCGCGCAGGAACTCCCCGTAGAATGGCGTCCGCGGGTGCGCGCCGCCCTCCACCGCCCTCCGGTGCTCGCCGTCGCCGAGGACGGCCTGCTCCACGCGCGGCGGGAGGAGCGCCGCGAACTTGCTCGCGGCGTAGCGGCCGAAGGGGCAGGTCGGGAGGAGGCCCAGGAGCTCGGCGGGCTCCATGCCCCGCATGTCGCGGAACTGCGTGTACCGCTCCCGCCGGAACGCGGCGGGGTCGAGCAGCGAGGAGAGGGAGCCGTCGAGGTAGAAGGATTCGTGCTCGAAGCCGACGAGGAGGACGCGGGTGACGTGCGCCTCGAGCGCGTGCTTGGCCAGCTGCGGCGAGGACACCGGGATCTTGGTGAGGGACCGGGTCGCCGCCGCGAGGTCAAGCCCCGCCGCGCGCATCAGCTGGAGGAGGTGCCCCGCGAACGCCCGGATCGCGGCGCGGGCCTGCTCGGCGCAGGCGGCGAACAGCTCCGCGGTCGGGGCGCCGCCGCCGCCGCCGGAGGCATTGTGCTTGGAGGGGTGGTGGCGTGAGTTGCGGCGGTTGCTCGCGACGGCGAGCTTCTCCTTGAGGCCATCGACCTCGGCCTGCTTGGCTTGGAGCTGGCGGCGGAGGTCGTCGAGCGCGGCCTCGTACGGCGCGACGGCCTCGCGGAGCGGCGGCGCGGTGGGGATGGGGCCGGGGATGTGCCCCCCCGTGGCGACGGAGCGGCGGAAGCGGTCGCGGAGCCGCGCGAGGTGGCGGAGCTTGGCGACGACGGCGGCGTCGGCGCTCCGCATCTTGTCGGGGTCCCAGGGGCAGTGTGCCCCCTGGAGGTCAGAGTACGCGCGGCGCACGCCGGAGACCGCGTCGAACACCTCCGCCATGAGCGTCTCCGCCTCCCTCGCCCGCTCAGCCCCACTCGCCGCCACCGCCGCCGCCGCCTTCACCTTCCTCTTCTCCTCCCAGATCTTCAGATTCTCCTCATCCTCCTCCTCCCCACCCTCACCACCATCCTCCCCCTCATCATCAGCCTCCGCCTCCGCCTCCGCCTCCTCGGAAGAAGAGGGAGTGCGCCGCCGCTCGCCACCGGCCCCCGAGATGGCGTCAGCGAAGGGGTCGTCGTCGTCGTCGTCGTCGAAGTCGGTGTCGCCGGAGTCGCTGACCGCGTAGCTGCCGGGGAGGCGGTTGGAGAGGCAGGAGGTGGCGACGCGGTGGATCAGATCGCCAATGGTGACAGCCTTGTTCGCCATTTCTTGATTGATGGGCAAACAGCCGCAGCAGCTGCGACTGTGCGAGACGAGACGAGTGACGAGGTGGGGCGTGTGTGAATTTAAGAGGAGGGGAGGCCAAGCCAAACACCCGAACAAAATGGGAGACAGATGCTCTGCGCAAACATGGAGGTCAGCCAGATGCAGACAAGGCAGTGAGCTGGGAAGCTCAGGCTCAATACTATTTAACCTCACCACCAATTCCCTCGGCTAAACAACCACCATTCAAACGATGCTAATGAGCCACTAATCTCCACTTTAAAACCAGCATTCTAGTACCAACACACATCAGCATAGGAGTAGTAGTGTACTCCCTCCGTTCTTAAAAAAAAAGAATCTAGGACTAGATGTGACATATTCCAGTATAACAAATCTAAACAGACGTATGTCTTTTTGTTGTACTAGAATGTGCCACTTTACTAGGTTGATTTTTTATGGGACGAATGGAATAGTGTGTTAGCAAGGGGCATTGCTTCGGTTTCCTTGATGCAAACTACTGCAGTAAATATGTAGGCTACACTGTAAGTTTGATCATATGTCTCCATGATCAAAGTGCGAGTCAACCGAAGTTTTATGTTACGAGCTGTGATAATGTGGTATGACTTTCTTTTCTTTAGTGTTATGGTAGCCCGGATTATGCGGCTGAGCATGTGATCAATGCATTCATCTACCAGACGCCTGCTTGGTCTGGGCAAGTGGATAGCTTAACCTCTTTTGACCTTTCCAACCGTGAAAAGCACTTGTTGTAATGTACTAATCGAGACCATTTGCTCTGCGAAACATGCAGACCAGCCAGATGCGAATGAATGTAGGTTTTCACCCAGTATGGTGATGATGGGCACCGGCAGATAGAGCACCGTACCAGCGAGGAAGGCCCCATAGATAAGGCGGAGCGTGATGAGACAATGGCGAGTAGCAACACCTAACGCCATAGGAGGAGAAGAAATAGATGGAGAGAGGGGTTAAAGTACAAAAATAGATTTCCTGATATTTTCGTTAAAATCTTTCCTTAGTTCCAACTAATTTTTTGAATTCAAATCCAAATACGTTCAGATATTTTCCAAAAAAAAAAAGCACACTAGTAGAAAATACAAATGATGTGCTGAATCATCTCTTTCTTCGACGGCCCGCTTTTCCTCTCTCCTTTTTCGGCCCTAGCGAACCAGCTGGCTCAGCCCATCTCTCCTTTCCTTCACCGGCACGGCCCTAGCGTGGCCTTTCATCTGTTTTTCTTTTTCTGCACGGGCCACATGCTCACATCTGGGCTGGAGTAACACAGGATGAGAAGAGAAGAGCGCCGGCGCATGGTGTACTTGTTGCTCTCGCGGTCTCGCCTCTTGCGATTGGAGCGTCACAAACAGCACATCTCTGGATCGTCATCCATGCCAATCAGATGGCAGCACCAACGAGTAGTAGATCCAATAGAATAATAAGAAGATGAGAGCCACGAACAACAACAAAAAGAATCGGAGAGAAACAATAGTATTTGATATTTACCATCTCTACTATTATAAAAATTAAAGATGTTTTTACCGGTATTTTGGTACGTCCTCCATATTTAAGTCGGTTTTTAAGTTCATTTGCTTTTGAAAATATAGATCAGTGTTTGAGTCGGTTTTTAAGTTCGTTTGCTTTTGCAAATACAGAAGGAGTCGTATAAGAAATCTCTTTAAAAAAAACTCGCATGTTAATTTGAGATGATCGGACTCCTAATTACATCTCATGATTTTCTAACAAGGTATATATCCAAGCGAATTTAAGACAGTGAATTTCACCATAACTAAACCATATAACAATAATAGGATTAAAATAACTTCACCCGTTGCAACGCACGGGTATTTTAAATAAAAATTCTAGGGGGATCCTATCAGGATCCCTCCGGTCAGGCCGTGCATTAGGCGAATTGATTGTATCAAGTACTAATTGATAAAAGCTAATCTGATAACAATAGAACACTATTGCGTACTGTCCAATCGCCGCTCCATAAGTAAGAAGCCCCCATGATCGTCTCACTCGATGAAGATAGCATCCTCCGATGACGCAGGAAAGATATACCAGCTCGGTTCCGACTCTATCTCCAGAGTATGCGTGCTGATCCCCTACTCGAGGCATCAGTTATATATGTGCAACAGCTATAGCTAGACCAACCTGATTAGTAGAACGACAAAAATTAGAATTGAATAAACTCAGCTTGGTTGATTGATTATATATGTCTTTCTTAGATTGATTAATTATATATCAACCTCTGTACGGGAAAAACATCATAATCCGGAAAAAGAAATTAGGAATCAAGATACGTATACGTACGTAAAATCCTGGATACGGTAGATCACTGGGAGGCGTAGACGAAGGCTCCTGAGGGACGAGTTGGCAGAGCAAGAGCGAGGATCGAGGTTGAGACGGCACTCGTCCTTCGGTGAGGCAGAATTTATATATTGAGCACAAATATAGTTTTCGATTTTTCGAATTCAACTTGGAGTAGAAGAAAAGAGGACAAGTAGATAGGACACGTACCGATCTTTTGTTTTTGGAATCAGACTATCGCGGCGTTGCCCGGCACAACACCCACGCGATGCCGAGACTGTGCACGATCCCGGGTCCCGAACTACCCTGATTCCAGAAAGAAAAGAAAAATCTGGCATTACTGCTGCAACGATTTGTTGTTCCATATTATGAGATCTTTGCAGTTGTTTTAATCTGAAAAATACAAGTTTGAAAATCACAACGAGCTATCTAAATCGTTGATGATTTTCGGAGCCACCGTGCGAAACGGCATATTTGCAAGTGAAAAATAATTTATAAATAAAATTTTTATATACGTGTTTTTAATGATCTAAAAGAAAACACTAAAAAATAAACTCTGAAAAAAAAACCTCAAAATCAACTTCAAATCTAAAGTTAAAAATTTAAATTTAGTTGATAAACATAAACGTCTAGACGAAAAGATGAGTCCCATTGATGCTACAGAGAGTCCACGTCACCCTCGTCTGCCTGCCCCGCTGGCGTTCGATCCGACATGCGGGCCCCACATGTAAGCAAGCACGCCATCCATCCCATCCTGAACCCACTCGTCAGCGAGCGCTGAGACGATCTGACCCGCAGTTTCACAGAAAACCCCTCGTCTCTTTCGCCATTTCGGATTCCCCACCCGACGAGTCTCCGACCACTTCCCACACCGGCGCCTCCACGCCGAGATCTCCTTCCCTCTCCACCGCCGGCGACCGCCGCGGCGCGGCGAGGCCCTCGGGGTCTAGGGTTTTGTACTCAGATGCGTCCCCTCCTCGCCTTCGCGGCGGTATGCGCCCTTCTCGTGGCTGCCGCAGCGCCGGCGGCCGCGGAGGAGGAGAAGGCGAACAAGTTCCGGCAGCGCGAGGCCACCGACGACATGCTTGGATACCCCCACCTGTGAGTCACCGCTTGCCTCTCTCCTTCACATGGGTTCTCCTGTCGCTTTCGATTTGGAACTGAACTGCTGCTAGATCCTTGGGACTGGAAGCGATCTTAGATGGTTGGTTGTTTTCTGTGGCTCCTCGTAATTTCTTAGTAGTTAACGACCTTAATCACCTTATTATTTCTGTAGGAGTGTTCAATTTATGCTCAGAATGACACGATGTGCAGAATCTGTTAAAACCTCTACACTTTTTTTTTTGCATTGGAAAATACTTCTACTTCATTCGAGCATTGATGTATCAGGGATTACACAAAGCAATTAACTCATTTTATGGAATAGTTAATTTGAATATGGAAATGGTGATTTCGTCCTTCTTTTCATTTAGGTCACCCAATCTAGTGTTTCATAATCTGGATTTGTTTCAACTGTTATGCAGGCTTGTGTTTCATAATCTGGATTTGTTTCAACTGTCATGCAGGCTAATGTCACAAAAAAGAAGAATATATGCAATTTCTAGAGTGTGAAGATTTACTCTTCTTTTTAAAAAACTTGGATCGCTTAATTTTTGTTCCATTTAATGGGCACATATGATACATGTGGTGATTGATACCCTGCATTAAGTAATAGGCCTTATTGGGATTAGCGTATTTGTGACCAACCATACTATGCCTGGCAGATTTGTTCATTCAGTTGATTCTTTGTAGTGTGAAATTATTATTATATTCTCTTGTATCTTAAAAGAATTAGTACTCACTGATCCCCTCCACCACCCACATACAATAAAATCTACATTTATAATTGGTTCTGTAGGTAAAAATGGATGTAAAATCTGTACATCGCTTGAGGTTTCTAGATCAGTTATTGTAGTTCTGTTGTTTTTGCGAGTGCTGTAAAAGCGCAAACAGCTCTTCAGATGTGTTCCCTTCAGAGTTAATCTTAGTGTCCTTTGAAATAGATTTGATCATATATCCTCTCTTTAGATAAAAAAAAAGAGTATTAAACCTCCTGTGCCACTGACATATAGGGTCATCTAAGGTCACTGACATGTAGACTGAAGGGTAAATCCTCAATTTCAATCTAAAAGCAGGTATATGATCAATCATTACTTGAATCTTTGATACCATTTCACTGTCAACCTGAATTTCATTGGCGTGCTAATTCTTAAAATATCTGCACAAATATATATGATATATTAGTCAGCCATACAGGGGGCAAAAAAGCATTCCTGTTAAATATAAATTCTTATTGATGTTTTCATCTGCAAAAAGGATTAAGAGATTAAGAGTAAGATTGGCTGTTACAACATGTGGATCATCAAATTGTTATACTGTAGTATTGTAGTTTCTCAGAGAAAAATCACAGCCTAAAGCATAATGCATTTATCCATACCACTAATTTCAACTGAGCACCTGCAAAATGCCACAACTTATGGAGCAAGTTTATTAATTCAGTTAGCTACCATGATCCCCGTGTTTTCAATTTGTTCAGGGGGACATATGAAAGATTTTACTATTGTGGACACTACATCTTTGAAAGTTACCTAGACAAATAATGTTGATCATCTGTACGGATAGATGCATTCATCGATGTAATAACTATATATTCTCCGCAGTGATGAAGATGCTTTATTGAAGACCAAGTGTCCAAAACATGTAGAGCTGAGATGGCAGACTGAAGTTAGTTCCAGCATTTATGCAACTCCGTTGATCGCTGATATCAACAGGTAAAATATCCTGGGAAATGATTTGGCTTTTTTTTGGCTTTAGGACATGTTAATCTTTGTCAGATATCCTTCTCATTATCTTCTTCTATTTGACTTCATGTTTCCATCATTATTTGCTTGTATAAAGATAAATCTATTGTTCTATGCTCTGGAACAGCATCCACTTCTGAATAAACCTTCTGTTAGTTACTATAGATTATGTTCAAAATCAAATAAGTACATCATTGCCATAAACTGAATTTTTTTTCCTCTGTATGATTTTGTGCTTCAAACTATGGACACTGTGAAATATCATATGCATGTTTGCTTTGGATTTTTAAACGTGGATGACTTTTTTCTAGTTATTGTCTTAATTTCTTCTTTAGTCTGCTCTGGGCACACTTTAATGATAATCTTTTGGTGTATTAGCGATGGAAAGTTGGAAGTAGTGGTGCCATCATTTGTTCATTACCTGGAAGTTCTTGAAGGCTCTGATGGGGACAAATTGCCAGGTGTGTGGTTTCACATTACCGATTAGCATGTTATAGTGGTCATCATTAGCTCTTTGCTATAAATTCTGGAAAACCATCAATTGAATGAATAGGTCTAAGATGTTCTACCACATTTTAAAGGTCCTGAAAGTTTGTGCTATAATTAACAAAAGAATTGGTTTAATGTTGTTTATTTATTAATATATATTGTTGTGAAATTGATTCCAGGATGGCCTGCATTTCACCAGTCAAATGTTCATTCAAGTCCACTTCTATATGATATTGACAAGGACGGGACACGGGAAATAGTTTTGGCAACTTACAATGGTGTAGTGAATTTCTTCAGGTAAGGAACTTGGTGCATATCTTCTTATGTTTTCACTGAACATGTAAAATTATTTGTTGAGTTTGTTTGACATGGTAATTTATTTGTTTGTTATGTAGGGTATCAGGTTATATGATGATGGACAAGCTAGAAGTACCTCGTAGGAAGGTACACAAAGACTGGTATGTTGGGCTGAATACAGATCCCGTTGACCGCTCCCATCCAGATGTTCATGACAGCTCAATTGCAAAGAAAGCTGCTTCTGAAGAATCTCACCCAAATATTCAGGACAAGCCAGTTGTGAATGAATCTTCTAAGGAATCCCAGTCACGTAAGTTATCTTATAAGCTATAATCACACTATTCACTGGTCAATCATAAGAATCCCTTCTTTTCATCTGTTGCTTTAGTAGTTTGGCTGCAATGCTTATTCTCTAGTCACTAGTATTTTACATGCTCTACCTTGAAAGTCTGTGGCTCTGCGCGCTGTTTAGGTTAAATGGTACTTTAGGATCATTAGTTCAATATTGATGTTTGTTGAACATATTTGTAGGCTGTCCTTAGATATATAGATAATACAGTGGAGCCTGGATATTATAACTAGATTATGTGATGTTACCAACCAGAGGATGGAAAATGCTCTAAAGAGAGTGGTGCATGCACGTAGTAACGATTATGCTACTCCAGTACTCTGATTTTAGTAACAGAGAATCCACACTCCGTGTGTAGTCTATAAGATCATTTACAAGAGATGCATTATAGTTTTATTTGTTTATCACTGTAGGGAGCACAAATGACTCAACAACACGAGGAGTTGATTCCATGAAACATGCGTCTAAGGAAGAGCCAGTTGAAAGTAAACCTAATTCTACCCGAGGACAGGAGAATATGGATGTGTTAAACAATCTAAACAGCACAGATGCTGGGAACAACTCTAGTTTAAGTACTACAACAGAGAATGCATCACATGTTCAGAGAAGGTTGCTTCAAACAGATGAGAAAAGTAATCAAGCAGGAAGCTCAGAAACTGATGCAAGTGATACCGGAACAGCAAAAGCAGCTACTGTTGAAAATAGCGAGCCTCTAGAGGCTGATGCTGATGCATCATTTAATTTGTTTCGGGATGTAGAAGATCTGCCTGATGAGTACAATTACGATTATGATGACTACGTTGATGAAACCATGTGGGGAGACGAGGACTGGAAAGAACAACAACATGAAAAGGCAGAAGATTATGTGAGCATAGATGCTCACATCTTGTCCACCCCAGTGAGTGTACCTTCTGTTTCGTTTTGGCTATTTCTGCTTGTTCATTCTATAAATATTCATGAATTATTTTCCACTACAGGTGATTGCAGATATTGACAGAGATGGCATACAAGAAATGGTGATTTCTGTATCTTACTTCTTTGACCACGAGTAAGGCTGCTTTCTCTGCTACAAGTGCATTTTGATAACATAACAAAATATACTGGTTATTTATGTTATCATGTGATGACATTTGTTGTTATGTAGTTTAGGTTACTTTTTTAAAACCAGAATCCTTTTATTCTCCCTGATTTTGGGTCGGTTGGTATGTGGTGGTGCTTTATGACAGTTTTCACTTCTCAGTTAGGTTCCAACAATGAATCAAAATATGCCGACCTAAGGTGTTTGCTTGTAATTTCCCTTCTGTCTATTGGTTATGATTGAAATACTCTCTCAATGCAAAACTTGTGACCATAATATGACTTAATGATTTCTTGCCTAATTCCTGTGTTGTTGTGTTGGTGTTTCAGACAGTCACTAGTAACTTGTCTTTTACTGACAGGTATTATGATAAACCAGAACATCTAAAGGAGTTAGGAGGGATTGACATTGGCAAATATATTGCAAGCAGTATAGTTGTTTTTAACCTTGACACAAGACAAGTCAAATGGACTGCAGAACTTGATTTGAGTACAGATAGTGGAAATTTTACTGCCCATGCATATTCTTCGCCGACCGTGGTTGATTTGGATGGTGATGGAAATTTGGATATTCTTGTTGGAACTTCCTTTGGCTTGTTTTATGTTATCGATCATCGTGGTAAATTCTTAACCTCATAATATCAATTCTGAATCCATAAACAGCTTTAAGCTGACTTATTGTTTTCTATGCTGTGTATATCTAGCTCCCGTAGCATAAAGTTTTTTTTTTCTAGAACAACAGAATATGTTAGTGTAGAAGTAACAGTATGTTTCAGCATGCTTTTCTTTGCTTTGTTTGGACAATAAGGACATGTTCACTGAAAATCCTCACAAATACAATAAAATCTCACTTTCAGTTCTGTTGCTTTCATCAATATGTTTCAGCATGCTTCTCTTTGCTTCGTTTGGATAATTAGGACATGTTCACTGAAAATCCTCACAAATACAATATATTCTCACCATAAGTGCTGTTGATTTTATCAATCTAGGTAAGGTTAGGAACAAGTTCCCACTTGAGATGGCGGAGATTCATGCACCAGTCATTGCAGCAGATATCAATGATGATGGGAAAATCGAGATGGTCACTGCTGATGTCCATGGCAATGTAGCAGCATGGACTGCAGAGGGAGAAGAAATCTGGGAGGTTCATCTTAAGAGTCTTATCCCACAGGCAAGTTCAAACCCGTTTCTTTTGTGGGTTCTAACTGATTGTGTATATATTTTTGGTTGTCTATCTATATCTAAACATACCCTTACCTTTGGCAGTCTATGGACTGCAAATTGCTATATGTCCTGAAGCTGCTTGCTTGTTTAGCTCGGTAGAATACTATGGAATCTTTCTTGTCAGATTGTCACAATTTATTTCCATCTTGTTCTATTACCTTTTTACCGAGTCAGAAATCAGAATATCATAACTTGGTTTAGTATTACTATATGCTTTCACTGTCTTCACTGGTGCATTCAGTTTTATTTGGGCTATGCTTTTCATACCCTCTGATTTGCCATTGTCATATGATGACAGCGCCCTACTGTTGGTGATGTTAATGGAGATGGTCGCACTGAAGTTGTGGTCCCAACCGTGTCAGGAAACATATATGTTCTTAGTGGAAAGGATGGCTCAAAAATTCAGCCTTTCCCATATAGAACGCATGGAAGGATCATGAGTCCTGTTCTATTGCTTGACATGAGCAAACATGATGAAAAGTCTAAAGGCCTCACCCTTGCTACTACATCCTTTGATGGTTACTTGTATTTGATTGAGGGCTCAAGTGGCTGTGCAGATGTTGTTGACATTGGAGAGACCTCGTATGACATTTCTTGTCTGCTTTGCAATTCTGTACTCTGTACAATTTCTGGATTCAACAAAGTGGCTCACTTCTTTGCATATTGACAGGTACAGTATGGTTTTGGCTGATAATGTTGATGGTGGAGATGACCTCGATCTTATTGTTACTACCATGAATGGCAATGTCTTCTGCTTCTCCACTCCCTCTCCGCACCATCCACTTAAGGTACATAGCATGTTTTTTTATGTCAATAATTTAGAGTAAATTACACAAAACCATAGGTATTGTGTCCAAGTTACACAAAACCACAGGAGTTTTGGCACGTGGCATAGAACCCCTATTGTTATGTTACCAATGTTTCAGAAAACCACACAATTGCCAAATTTTTCTTAAATTTGACATGTGGGATGAAACTTTTATATGCTCATAGAACCACGGTGGATGAAAGAACTCATAATCCCACGTCAGATTTGGGTCAAATCATGTTCAGATTTGGGTCAAATTGGTCAATTGCATGGTTTTGTGAAACACTAACACCATAATACCCATGGTTACGTGCCACGTGTCAAAACTCACGTGATTTTGTGCATACTCATAATTTAACTCAAGTCAGTAGATTTTTTTGTGAATCCTCCGTAACTTATGTTTAATCTGGTTTGGCTGAGAGTTGCATATTTCCTTTAAACCTTATATTTTTTATGGATGTTGAAACAAGATAGTGGAAGTACTGCTGACAATAGGATAACAAAATCACGTGATTTTGTGCAATTTACTCATAATTTAACTCAAGTCAGTAGATTTTTTGGTGAATCCTCCGTAACTTATGTTTAATCTGGTTTGGCTGAGAGTTGCATATTTCCTTTAAACCTTCTATTTATTCATGGATGTTTAAACAAGATAGTGGAAGTACTGCTGACAGTAGGATAACAATATAATTCCTTCCAATTTAATGGTAGGAATGGAGATCATCAAACCAGGGAAGAAACAATGCTGCATATCGTTACAACCGTGAAGGTATTTATGTTAAACACGGTTCCAGAACATTCCGTGACGAAGAGGGCAAGCATTTCTGGGTAGAGTTTGAGATTGTGGACAAGTACAGGGTTCCTTATGGGAACCAAGCTCCTTATAACGTGACGGTACATTTTGTCAACCCAATGGCTTGTCTGATGGATATTCCAAATATTTTTATTTAACTTCCAACTACCCTCGCTTACCATTGGATTTCAGGTTACTCTACTTGTCCCTGGGAATTATCAAGGAGAAAGGCGCATTGTGGTTAATGCAGCTTATAATGAACCAGGCAAGCAGCGGATGAAGCTTCCCACAGTTCCTGTGAGAACCACAGGAACTGTGCTTGTGGAAATGGTTGACAAAAACGGGTTCTACTTCTCTGACGAGTTCTCGCTCACCTTCCACATGCATTATTACAAGCTTCTGAAATGGCTCGTGCTTCTTCCAATGCTTGGGATGTTTAGCGTTCTTGTCATCCTGCGGCCACAAGAAGGCGCTCCGTTGCCATCATTTTCAAGGAATATTGATTAGTGATTTGCACAGTGAAACGTCAGGTCCTCATAGAAGCAGATAAGCAGAACAAGATATTAGCAGGATATCCAATCACCCATGAAGGAGCTTGTCCACATCATACTGCATCGGGGAGCTCAATCTGCACAGAAAAAACCCCTCACGATGCTGCATCCCATCAGTTAGCTAGTTCGGGAAGTACAGCTTTTAGTCATGCAAAAAGAATTTTGTCACACTTGAGATTGTTTTCTAACTTATGATATTTACACAAGGAACTGGCAGCTGTCTGATCCTGGTTTAACATCTTGAGAATTTTAGCCCCAGATATGCTATCAATCTTTCTTGCACCATCATCCTGACTCCTGGAAGATGCTATGCTCTACTGCTATGTACTACTCCCTTCATTCCATTTTAAGTGCAGTTATGGGTTTCTTTGTTCAACGATTGACCGTCTATCTTTTTTGATTTTTTTATGATTAATACTTGTACTATTGTTAGATGATAAAATATGAATAGTACTTTATGCATGACTTATTTTTTTAATTATTTTATAAATTTTTTAAATTAGATGAACGGTTAAACGTTACATACGGAAACCCACGACTGCACTTAAAATGGGACGGAGGGATAAACGTTACATACGGAAACCCACAACTGCACTTAAAATGGGACGGAGGGAGTAATTGGCAGTGATCAGCTTGCTATGATTGTGATTGAACTCAACCTGAGATCATTGAACATAGGTACATAACATGATAGATGCAAGCCTTCCAAGAACTGAGAATTTTCAAGTTAACTTTACAAATTACAAATGTTCTTACATAATATAATCAACCTATAGTACAGAACAATCTTTCTAACTTTCATAAGAAAGATTGTTAGACCCAACCCCTCATATTTTGTATTCACAAAGCATGGCGGCATGGTAGCTTAAAGATGATAAATTAATTACCAACAATAATTAATTCATCTCAAAATCTCAACCTAAGTAGGAACTTAGGATCACATCGTTGCATGCTAAACTACCTTAACCCAATCGGAGCTCCTGTCTTGAGTCGGCGCCGCGGCGACGGCGGCGGCGGCGGCGGGCGCGTCCTGCCGGCGGTGGTATTCCCTCCTGACCGACCACAGCGCCTCCGTGCACCGCCGCATCGACGGCCGCTCCTTCCTCGCCGGCGCGACGCACTGCTCGGCGAGCTCCATCACCTTCTCCACCGTCGCCACCGACGCCGGGCTCCTCCTGATCCTGGGGTCCATGGCCACCACCACCTCCCCTCCCCTGAACCTCTGCAACGCCTGCAATCTCATCGCATCGCTGTGAGTTTTCCATCTCTTGCGGTGTGTTCGTGCTTGCGCGTGCGATTGGATTGGATTGGTTTGGCTTGGTTTCTTACCCATTTCGTGGTGGGGCGGGGATCGAGGTCGCGGCGGCGCTCGATGGGCGGGCGGCCGGTGACGAGCTCGACGAGGAGGACGCCGAAGGAGTAGACGTCGCTCTTGTCGGTGAGCTCGTACGTGCTCAGGTACTCCGGGTCCACGTACCCGGCGGCGCTCTTCCCCTGCGTGTCCTCCGACTCCGAGCTCTCGCCGCCGGCCATCCGCGCCAGCCCGACGCCGGCCAGCTTCGCCGTCAGCGTGTCCGTCAGGAGCACGTTCGATGACCGGACGTTCCGGTGGATGATCCGCTGCTCTGCAAACGGCGAGTTTCAGTTTAGAATTCAGACTTCCACTTCTCATATCATCTTCATATCTCTGAAATTTCAGAGAATATATGTCACTTACCTTTGAATTCGTGCAGGTATGTGATAGCATGAGCTACGTCGATCGCGATGTTGAGCCGTTGCGCAAGTTCTAAACCATTTCCACAGGATTCTGCAGTGTGTTGCATTTGCACAAATCCTGATCAATTCCTCCTACTAGGTACTAGAATTATTTCGAATAGATAGTAACAGTGGTACTATTACAGACTAGAATCTTCTTGGCATTGTAGTTTACTGCAACTGAATGAATCGATCAGGGGCAAAACGTACCATCTAAGTGTTCCCTTAAGGAACCATTGCTGACATACTCAACGACGGTCAGGCTCTCATCTTCGCGCTCAAAGAATCCTAGGAACCTCACTAGATTCTTATGATCAATTTTCTGAAGAATTTCAAGCTCTCTCCGAAGCTCAGCTGATGCATACTGACTGTTTAACTGTTGCAACAGAAGACATGGTTACTACTTATTACCAAGTACCAATCTCCAACCTACATACCTCATGAAAAATTGCTGAATATGCGTATTCCCTTTGTTTCCATACCTTTCTGGCACATTTGATGGCAATTTCAGACCCATCCCTGAGCTTCCCTCTGTAGATGCTGCTATAACTTCCCTGCTTTATTATGTTCTTGTCACTGAAGTTTGAGGTTGCCTTAAATATCTCTGCAACTGTGAGCTCTGTGCTTTCTTGGGGATACCCTGTCCCTGCTGCACTTAAATTTGTCATTTCTCCATTCTGATTTTCACACGGTGGGGGATATTCATGTTTATCTAGTGCTAAAATAAAAGTAAATTGCAGTTTTTCACACTAATTGTTTGCTGCTTGATATTTCCCCTTTTAACAGGTGACCTAAGTACAGTTAATCTGCAATTAAATTTACTCTACTTAACCAGCAAAACAACCAAGAACTGAAGAATTGGAAGGCACCAGAAGGCAGAATTGCTGGGCAAATTCCTCGATAGAGGAATAGTTCTTACCTGGATCAATCGAGACTTGGTAACCTGTACTTCTGCTCCCTTGAGAAATCGTCGTCCGAGAAATCTCAAGTTCATCCTCATTTCTGGACTTCCTGGGCACAAAGCAACTGAAAACTCCGGCGAGACTCTGCGCCGCCGCCCTGAACGAGCCGCTGCTGCGAACCGAGCTCCTGCTGATCTCTGAAGATGGAACGCTGTAAGAGGAAGCCTGACGACGGTAGACCTCAGGAGGGCATGATTGGTATCTCTGGTAAGTAGGCTTGCAAGAACTGATCCCTGAAACTTCTTTGCCCTGGCTGGTGGTGCTGAACTGCCTCTTGGCTGCAGGCAATTCCATGGCAAGAAGATCGAGAGGAAAAATTTCTTGGTCTGATTATTGCTTCATCGTTTTTCCTTTGGATGCATAAATATGGGGACGATGACTTGGTGCCGTTCAATGGCACAAGCCTTTGCTGAGCGTGATGTTGCTGTCCTGGAGCTAGGTCAACGGTGTGCTCCGACGACCTGCAGGTCGCTACTATGTCGCTTCCCAATTCTTTAATTGTTGATCTGGTTGGACGGTATATATAGTGATAACTGTTTTCCATTATCTAAAAAGTGATATAATTGTTTTCTGTATAGTTGTGTAATCGTATGAATTATGACGATAAAGTATATTGGTTCCAGAATTGTAACTTTTTAATTGAACTATTGAAGTTAGGTTGCTGTTCCTGGAAGGGTTCACATCTGGTCCGTGGCATCACAAGTTCATACAGGAAGACGGGAAGAAGTGGAGGACTTTCTGTGATGTCATGGTGTGATTGGTAAAGATTTAGGTGCCAGAATTGGTCAGATTATTAGCGGTCTACTCGCTCCGTCCCAAAAAAAGACAAACCCTGGGTTTCCGTGTCCAACTTTGATTGTCCGTCTTATATGAATTTTTTTTATAATTCGTATTTTCATTGTTGTTAGATGATAAAACATGATTAATATTTTATGCGTGACTTGTCTTTTTAATTTTTTTTCATAATTTTTTCAAATAAGACGGACGGTCAAACGTTGGACACGGAAACCAGAGTTTGTCTTTTTTTTGGACGGAGGGAGCATGCAGATGAAATTGAATATTGTTATCTAGGATCAATCAGTTTAGGATAGGAATGTATGACTTGGATTTCGTGATGCAAGGAAAAATAAATAGTACTACCTCCGTTTTTTAATAGATGACGCCATTAACTTTTTCTCACATGTTTGACCATTCGTCTTATTCAAAATTTTTATGCAAATGTATAAGATATAAATCACACTTAAAGTACTATGAGTGATAAAATAACTCATAACAAAATAAATTATAATTATGTAAATTTTTTGAATAAGACGAATGGTCAAACATATGAGAAAAAGTCAACGGCGTTATCTATTAAAAAACGGAGGGAGTACAATATTGTACCTACGTGTCGTTGACAACAACTCAGCAGAACTCCAAATGATACCTTGTACTACTGTTATAGGAGTACCATAATAAAAGATCAAAATTTGGTAGCTGAAACAAGAACAAAGCCTTGTTTAGATTCCAACTTTTTTCTTCAAACTTATAACTTTTTCGTCACATCGAACTTTCCTACACATACAAACTTTCAACTTTTCCGTTACATCGTTCTAATTTCTTCAAACTTCTAATTTTGACGTAAACTTTCAATTTTGGCGTGGAACTAAACACTAGCCAAGTTCGTTCTGCTAGCTACCGACAACTTTTTACATAGTAACAAGAGGTCTTGTGATAAAAGAAGTTTTTGTTCATTCGTCTGCTGAAATTTCAATTTAAAAATTAATTTTCCTTATTTTCTACTACAGTTTTCATATTCAAACGGTTAGGAATAGAGACGTAAAAGTATTTATCAAAAGACATTTCTGATTGCTTCGATTATTTTTGTAGCGCTCATCCATTGTTTTCCTATATCCAGTCGATCAAACAAGGACGCTTTGCATGAGCCTGAAGAGGTATTAGTACAGTACTACTTGACGTTTCCTTGTCTTTGAAATTTCTTCAGAAACCTGCATCCGTCTGCTTCCATGGCTGATCTGCTGCTTATATAGGCACACCCGCGCATGCATGTCATGCGTGAGGACGCGCTCCTCTTGAGGCCGCCATAGCTTTCTTTAATTTGGGTTTGGTTCATTGATTGGATTGAATTATCCATAACCAGGAATTACTCGAAGAACAACGTTTCTTTACTCTTTGCATACAACATCACCAGAGATACAAGTTATTGACATATGCCAAATTGCCAACGGTTTATGATGAGATAACCCTCAATCCAGCAATGATAAATACCGCAAAGTACCATCACCAGGACAAAATTTCATAAATCAGTTTGGAACAACATGCAGGTAGCAATCCCTGCAAGAATGATACCGAGCCAAATTGAAAATTCCCCAGGACACTTATGCTTCAGCAATATTTGAATTTAAGATATAAGTGCTATGTCAAAATGATTCCAAAATGATGACCAATACATCTGGCCAGTTCTGTACCAATTTCCCACATCTTTCATTCTCTTTCGTATTATGCACTTCTCTCTCAAAAGCGAAGCAAAACTCATGAATACATCACGCAACTACACAAGGTCTCTGTCATTTACTTCAGTAGACTAATTCATCTCGGCTTGTATTTTTTCCTCGGGTGGTGGTGAAACCTACATCCAGGATCACTGGAGAACCGTGACTGTATCTAGTCAGATATGTAATCTGCAATAGCCGACTACTACTGAGTACTGAAAAGAAAAGAACCACGTCGAATTAGACATCAAACTCTTCTCTGAATTTTCTACTTCCTCTGCTACAAAAAATGACCCACCATCCAAATTCTTTTGATACTTCTACTTCCTGGACCTGTCAAAGAAAACAGTGGTAAAATATAATTATCACACTAGCAATAATAAAAAGATCAACAAGGATTAAAATTGCAGCGGAAAAAGAACAATTCTGAACTTTCACAATGAACTACTGTTTCTATTTAAAAGAACTTTCTGACAAGAAGTACATATGTTAACAATTAACGTGCACACGCATCCAGCATTGTGCAAAAATGTGACAGTCATTTTCCAAGAAGTTCAAAAGTACTGGTACAGCAATAGCTACAGTGACCATCCACCAATGGACCCTTTGATATATTTTTTTAAGGAAACTATGAACTCTTGGATTAATTAAAAGCAATAGCCAGTGCCCAACATTATTGGTTTCCTAAAATTCCATTGCTGTTACAAGGGAGCCAAGAATCCCTCTGTTGACAGGTCACAGAAACCACAAGTAGAACAATATTCAGAATGTATTTTCTTTTTCTAACCTTTTCAAAGATCCCGAGCTCTTCTTCTTCTAGGGCTTCTGCTGTTTATAGTAAGTGAATTAGATGCAAGCTCGAGTAACTTTTTTCTTACAGATATGTCAAAGGAGAAAATAAAGTACTAGACTAAGATAAAAAAAAAAAGCATGTGGAAGCCATATCCCAAAACAAGCAGTAAAAACAACAGATATTCTTATCGATACTCGTCAATCCACTCTAGTTCAACCAAATAAACTAAAATACATAGGATGCATTAGAAAAACATTGCATTTTAGTTAATCTTGTTGAATTAGACTAGATCGACGGCTATCCATAAAGTGACTCGCGTCCATCCCTACTCCATAGAGTTCATCTCTACACAACCATAAGAAAGCTAGACAGAAAATAAATAATGAAAATAAGCACAATAGGAACAATGCCTTGTCCACGTGAGCATAAGCTCCACTATTACATAACTAATGAAGACCGACCACAGCAAGACCGTCAAAACAAAACCACATTCAACATCCTAAATTATGGCGGACTCCGTTCTGCGCAGTCATCATATGAAAATGGCAGCAAAACTGTAAAACTAAACAACGCAGCATTCTAGAATACTAATTACAATCAGCTCGTTACTTTATACACGTGACACTATCATAAGTGTTGACCCTGAAAATTGTGAAAAAGTACAGATATAACAATGCAGTAAAAACAGAAGATGCAAGCAACAATTTAACATACTGATCAGTGGAATTCCAGTTGATAACCTTTCATAAACAACAATATGTCCTAAGAAAATCATGACACAACGGAAGGTGATATTGGAAGCTAAAAACTGCATATCTCACTCAATCGTCACAAACATCGTACCCAAGAAGTCACAGACTAAAGTACGAAAAGCTGTCGAAACTAACAAAAGAGACACCGATTTCTACAGCTACAAAAATCTTAGCCCATGAAACAAAGACAGGTCGTCCTAGCATGCAAGACATGAGCAGCAAACTAATGAATAGGAAGGAATCCCACATGAAGAAACATATAAGCAACTGCAATTCCCTAACAGGGCAAACCCATGCAAAGGTGGCGAGTACGAGACACCAATATGTTGCCTCAATTCTACGTTAGATTCATCCAAGATTAACATAGGCAAAAGGTCCGATCAAGACCACCAAGAAACTGCGTAATCAACAACAGCATCCCAAGAACTCAAATGTGCCGAACCAGAACTGGACGCGTGCCGAAAAGCTCACCTCCAGGTACGGCGAGGCGGGGTCATGGGCCGGCGCCTGCAGGACCGCTTCCCGCATCGTCTTCGCGCTCCGGGGTGTACCACAGCGCCCCTGCACCCGCGCTCCGCACCCAACTCAGCGTGGTAGCCGCGGCCACCCTCGGCTCGTTGTACGGCGAGGCGGGGTCATCGGCGGCGAGGACGGTGCGCTCTCGGCGCGCACCCAGGATCACTTCCCGCATCGGCTGCACGTGGGCGCGCGCGCGCCCCCGGGTGTTCCACAGCCCCCCTGCGCCCGCGCTCCGCGCCCAACTCAGCGCCATGGCCGCGGCCACCCTCGGCTAGTTGTGCGGCGAGGTGAGGTCATCCGGCGCGACGACGGAGAGCTCTCGGCGCACGTACAGGACCGCCTCCCGCATCGCCTCCTGCTCCGCAGCGTCCCCGCGCCCCGAGGTGGTGGTCCCGCGCCCCGAGGTGGTGGTCCGCCGCTGCCCCTCGGCCGCCTTCCTCACCGACACCGACACGGCCGTAGTCCTGACCGGCGCGGTTGTGGGCGACAGCGACGACGGCCTTGCTTCCGCGGGGTCAGCCGAAGACGCATCAGCGGTGCGCTTGCTCTTCTCGGCCGACGAGGGTTGCCCCGATCCCTTGGGGATAGCCGGAGACTTACCAGCGCTGCGCTTGCTCTGCCTCGCGGTTGTCGACGACGGCGAGGTCTGCCCTGCTTCCACGGGGGTCTCCGGAGCCTCACCAGCGAGGCGCTTGCTCCGTCTCGCGGTTTTCGAGGTCGGCCCTGCTGTCGCAGCCGCCGGGGGATCCGGAGGCGCACCAGCGAGGCGATTGCTCCGCCTCGCAGTTGTCGGCGATGGCGAGGTCGGCCCTGCTGTCGCAGCCGCGGGGGGATCCGAAGGCGCACCAGCGAGGCGATTGCTCCGCATCGCGGTTGTCGGCGACGACGAGGTCGGCGGTGCTGCCACAGCCGCGGGGGGATCCGGAGGCGCACCAGCGAGGCGATTGCTCCGCCTTGCGGCTGTCGGCGACGACGAGGTCGGCGCTGCCGCCGCAGCCCCGGGGGTAGCAGGAGGCGCACCAGCGAGGCGACTGCTCCGCCTCGCGTTCGTCGACGATGGCCCTGCTTCCGCGGGGTGATCCGGAGGCGCACCAGCGAGGCGCTTACTCCGCCTCGCGGTTGTCGGCGTCGACGACGAGGTAGCCGGAGGCGCCTCAGCGCCGCGCTTGCCCTTCCTGTTCCCCGGCGGGCCGCCCGGTGGCTTCTGGCCGGAGCCGCCGGGCGGGAGGTCGGAACCCTTCATCTCGGGGGCGCTCCGCCGGCGAGGTGTTTGCGGGAATGCGCGGGCGCGGCAAGGCGAGGAGAGGAGAGGGTTTTGGCGCTCGGGGTTGGGTATTTCCTTGCTCCGCCGAAATGTTGGTTTGTTTGGTGGGATGCTTTGCTTCGTCGGGGTGTGGGGCTCGTTTTGTGGGGGCCACGTTTAGGGAGGGGGAACGGCGTGACGTGACTTTCTTTCTTGCTTTCACATTTTCTTGTGTAGGTCGTGGATGCCGCTGACATGTGGGCCCAACTGTCCTCTTATGTCAGGGTGGCGGTTTACGGGAGAGGATCACGTTACTCTTGCGTCTATGTATACGTAGTAGTAGGAGTAATATGCTGTTTTTAGATCCAAAGTTTGTATCCAAACTTCAGTTCTTTTCCATCACATCAACCTGTCATACACACAACTTTTCAGTCACATCATCTTTAATTTCAACCAAAATCTAAACTTTACGCTGAACTAAACACAGTCATAGTTGCTTGAAATTAGTTGAAACATTTTAAGGTGGGGTTCTTGATTTGGGGGGCTTTTAACTATTTTCCACTTTTAGATTTGGCAAATAACTATTTGCCACCCCTATCTCAATGACACGTGGGTCCACATGTGTCTATGACATGTGGGTCCAGTGTCAAAAAGTTAATTGCCACATCTAAATGTGGCAAATGGTTAAATATCTCTTAATTTGGGACATGAGATTCTAAAATAATTAGAGGATACCGCGCTGCTGCGGAATATTTGTATTAAAATAAAATTTAAAAATTCAAGTACACTTTGTGTGATAAAAAAAAGTAAGAAAAGAAGGGAAATAGAGGCTAAAATTCTGGATGATATTGTAGCAACTTTTGCAAGGAATATAATAATAGCAATGCTTCACTTTGAGTACATTGAGAGTTTGAGATCTCATATAAAACACCACCATAGTGCTTGACAGAAAATAGGATCATATTTAAGCACGGTGAACAAAATAGGATAAGGTTAATGGCAAAGAGCAAGCTTGTTATCTGTTGCAGAGGTAAGAGTTGAGGGCCCCTTTAAATCGTAGGATTGAGAAAACGTATGAATAGGAAAAACGTAGGATTTTGATAGGAATGTAAGTGTAAAACAGAGGATTGCAAAACGCAAGAAAAACACAGGAATGACCGTTTGATTGAACCACAGGAGAAACACAGGAATTGGATGAGAGATATAGACTCAAAGGAAAGTTAGCAAGAGGTTGAAGCTCTTGCTAAATTTCCTCCAAAATCTCTATAGGATTGTCCATTCCATAGTAATTTCAAAGGATTAAATATGATTCAATCCTTTGTTTCAAAGGGCTTTATAAGAAATTTTCCTATAGGATTAAAATCCTCTAAAGGCCCATTTGAATCGTAGGAATGAAAAAAACACAGGAATAGGAAAAACACAGGATTCTAACAGGAATACAATTGTAAAACAGAGGATTACAAACACACAGGAAAAACACAGGAATAGCCGTTTGATTGGACCATAGGAAAAACGCAGGAATCGGATGAGAGAGATAGACTCAAAGGAAATGTTCCAACAGGTTAGACCTCTTGCTAACTTTCCTCCAAAATGTGCATAGGATTACACATTCCATAGGAATTTTAAAAGATTGGATAGTATTCAATCCTTTATTTCAAAGGTCTTCATTGGATTTTTTTTCCATAGGATTGAAATCCTCCAAAAATCCTACATTTTCCTACAAATCAAAGGGGCCCTAAAATTCTATGTTTTTTCTCCAAATCAAAGGGGCCCTAAATGGTTTTTTATGTATTTTTTCTCAACTACTGTAGCTTGCTATTCCGAAACTCAGTTTATTATTGATCAAAAGCTAACTTCCAAATCTATGGGGCAAGGAGAAGAACAATAAGAGCTAACTTCCAAATCCAGAGCCTGAAGAATCACACAAAAAGAACTCTGAATGAGAGCACCGTGTTGCATATATGATAAAAAAAATCTCCATCTAGGTCATTGCTTCATTGAATCATACAGTTGCCTGTGTATTCTCATAGAGTTGACCAAGGATCACCATACTTTTTGATATATTGGGAATTATCTGCAATTATTTTTTATCTTACTCCCTCCGTTTTATAATGTAAGTCATTCTAGTATTCCTACATTAATATTGATGTTAATGAATCTAGACATATATATCTATCTTGATTCATTAACATCACTATGAATGTGGGAAATGTTAGAATGACTTATATTGTGAAACGGAGGAAGTATCATTTAGTATCTCAAGTCCGCAAGATAAATCATGTTTACAAAATGAGCTGTATATAAAATCATTGATTCACTAAATGTTGCTTAGTGATAAAAATTATTTGTAGTCATGTAGTGCAAATACTGTTGTACAGGGAAAATAAAAAGGGACTGATTTGGGATACTGAATTCGGTTGAAAATTGATATATAATTGAATCGAAGAAATTAGTGTGACTACTCAATTAGCATCAATCAAGATGTATTATAAAAAGATTTAGCTGAATGGGGAAAGAACTTACGCTGGAACATCTGAGATCAGCAAGCAGTGGAAGTGGAACAACCCCTTTGTTGGCCGAGCAGATCAATCCAGGGATCTGTGTATGGAGGAGAAGCTTCTTGCTGGTCGAGCAGATCGATCCAGCTTGTTGGCTGAGAAGATCGATCCAGCTGCTGTGTATATCATCATACATAAATAAGATGGGAAAGAAAGGCCGGAGTAATGCAAGCGACCGTTTGAAAACATGAAGAATTGAAGATGAATAGACGGGACTAATTTCTTCGGGCAGTTTAATTCAGTTTCTTGCCCTGTGCGGCCACTGATGCTTCCGTTTCTTCATGCACACGCCTAGGAGGCGAAGAGGTTGGGAGGCGGGTGCTTGGGGGCGCGGGAAGGCAGCTGCGGCACAGGGGTGCGACATCGCGGGGAGAAGGGGAAGTGGCGACTACAGCGCCGGAGCCACGGGAGGCGATGCGGCCGTGAGGCGGGGTCCACCTGTGGCGTTGGTCGCTCCGAGGGCGCTACGGAGATGCAATGAGGATCCTCGAGATGTAATCGAACGGCTGAGAACTAAATAATGACGTGGCTTAACCACAGCTCAGGAAATTGCACTTAGTGGGGATGACTTGTACAGATATATAGGATTCCATTTCTACAATCTATGTTACATCCTTAAATAACTTCATTTATATCATACTCCCTTTATCCTAATTTAATCATTATATTTACAAACGACGCTAAGACCAAGACAAGAAAACATTGTTCCTTTTAAAATTAAACATCATTGATCAAAGTGTTATTCTATACATGAATATGAGGCATGCAATGATGCCATTTATCACTGCACAGATAAGCGAACAAACATACAGCAATATCATTTACTCCTACATACAAAACGAATAGACATGAAACAATAGTATTTTATTTCTACACATACAAACTTATAGACACAAGTTATATAATGATCAATTTGGTAACACCCAAAAAAATCTTAGAGGATGATCAAATTGGGATGAAAAGAGTATCTCCTTATCCATCCTCGAGCTATATTTGCAAGTGCAACTTAAAGGTATGTTTGGGGCGGGCTTAAGATTTTGAGAAGCAGTTGATTGATAACCAGCTTCTGAGAATCTAGAAAAACTGGATTTTCCAGCTTCTGACTTTTAGTTTATTTTCTGGATTGTACAACTATAGGTTCTCAGAATCTAAATCAAAAGTTATACTATTTATGGGAACTTCTGATTCTAGGTGAAGCTGTAGCAGTTAGAAGCTCCCCCAAACAAGCCCTTAGTTGGGTTAGTAAGGCCCTCTTTGTTTAGGCTTAGGCTTATTGGCTTAGACTTTTAAGTCAGCTTATTGGCTTATATGATTTATAAGCCAGTGAATTTAATATCCTAAGTTTAGTGGTGGAGTCATACATCTATCTCATATAAGCCAAAAAAAACTTCTCCAACCTAGCTTTTGGCTTAATAGTGTAAGAGTGGCTTATGGCTTCAAAAAAGCCAAACGAAAAAGCTGCTTGTTTGTTTAGGCTTAGACATTTTGGCTTATAAGTTGGCTTATAAGCCTAAACAAAGAGGACCTAAGTAGCACGGAAAATATAGTGGAATTTATGTATAGCAACTTTTAGTTATGAATCTAAATAATATTTTGGAACGGGGAGTATTAATTATTATAAACTTAAAGAACGAATTATTTATTAAAAAAACTTATGTATAGTTTTTTTTTCATAAAATGCACGTACCGTTTAACCCTTTTTATTTGAGAAATCGATTTTGAAATTTAAAATTTGATTCTCAAAGAATGATTTGGTTTTTTTTTGTTTCTCTTTTGAAAAGAGAGGCGAACAACGAATATGACTGAAAAAAAGCCTTAAAATCAATATTAATTGAACTTCTATAATTCATTATCACCCAACCAAGTAGGCACTAGATAAATATTTTCTTTTTAAAATAGTTAAAATGTTTTCATCCCTAACCTCTGCCATAAGGCACATGGCCGATAAAAAATTAATGAGATGTTTGTATCGTCAATGGTATCAAAATATTTATTTGTGATCGCAGATTTCGTATCGAACATAAATTACAAGCATTCATATGATGTTGGTTTCCTTTAAAATGTGCTGCACATTTGCCTTAAGATTTTCAAAAACAATTTGAAACCCCGATAACAAGCAAAGGTATCCTAGAGAATCACATTTCTACACATGTTATGGTGTTGTGCATACATCTTCGGCCTTCAAAGAGTTATGAAATGTTATACTGAGCCTCTATCATGGACCAGAAAAAAGGCAACATATGTGCACTTGAAACGCTGTTACAGACACCACCCAATGTGGTTCAAGTTTCTTCAGGCAAAATCCTGGCTCGTCATTGCACTCGACTACTGTTACTAGTATTGATGAATAACACGAAGTACAAACTAATTTGATTAATTTTCCTCATGAAGCAACAAATCCTGAGAGGAATTCCAGTATGACATCATCCAAGAGATCACCATGTAACATCCTGGCTATATGCCATCCCACCATGTTGATGCCCTCACCGAATTCCAGCCATTCTGGATCAAGAATCTTGTCATCAGGATGTGCTACAGCAAGCTCTTCCTGCTGCCTGACCATTGTTTGCCATACAACCTCAACAGGTCCTTCAGGGCCCCAAACAGGGCAGCAATTTCTACTCAACTTTGCCCACGGATGCGTGTCGATGCATGGTGCGAGGATCTCAGAAAGAACAGAATTCGCAAGATCAAACAGAAGCCTCCTTTGTGGTCTTGGCCATGTAGCAACCTTGCTGTACTTCCCCTCAAGCTTGTCGAAGACATGAGGACCAACAAGGTAACCAGAAGATTGCCATGACTTGAACAAGAGCTGTGAGTCCGCGACTATCACACCGGAGCTTATAAGTATGTCAAGTAGATAAGAGAATTCCTTTTCCTCCTCAACTTCAAATGCTTCAAGAGACTGGTCAGAAGAATCATTGTCATTGTCGCTGGACAAGGATACTTCTTGCTCATATCGGAGCTCACAGCCATATATTTGTTTATCGATGCCTGAGGCCAACATAAAAGATTCAACAATCAATTTAGTGCTCTGAAAGTTCATTGATCAGAGGCAATGAACATTTCATAACTAGTAAAACATTCAACTGGGTAGAAAATTCCTTTTTAAGAGTATGTTAATTACAAACTAAATTAGTTAAACTAAAATCCTTTTCAGTGTATGCTAATTACAAACTAGTTAAATTAAAGGGCTGAACTTTGAACTTTCCAACTTTTAACTCAGTGATACTACAAAAGAAATTTATCATTAGTTAGTTAACTAGTCATATTTACTAGATAGCAAATGCCTTTCTAGAGTATGTTAATCACGAATGATGCTCCAGTCATGTGCTATAGACTACAGAAATGGTTTAGCTTAATTTCATAAATATTTGTATCAACTTCAACATTGTTAGGATAGCTGATAAACGCAGTACAGACTTCTCCTTTGAAGCAATAAAATTCTTTTATGAAGAAGGGAATGTTTCTTTGTTCCAAATGGTGCTGGTCTGTCTCACTTACTAGGCATGACTTGCGAGTCATTTTTTAAGTATCCAGAACAACAACTGTCTTCATCAGTTGGAGGCTCAAGAATAGACACTGGGCTTGGTCGGTCAACCTCTTTCAAGCTTCTACGAGACTTTGCCGCACAAGTATGATCAGAAATAGTTATGGCTTCATATACACCGCAATGGAAAGGCGATGCTGAAACCTGAAAGGGGGAGCACTGGGTGAGTGGTAACCACAAATTTATGCATATAGTATGACAACACCAGACGTTTTAAGGCTCCAAAGATGTCAACAAATGAAAATTGGTTAACTCCCAGTTCATCATTATATTGGACAAAATGAAGGCTAAGTAAGGTATTGCAGTATGTACACAAACCAAGTACTTAGTACCATACTAGAATAGCACATGTCCGCACTCAAGAAAAACTTAAACAAAGAAGCCATACTATTGATAAAGAAGAAAAATTAAGAAAAGAGCAATGTCTATGTTTCTGGGTTCACAGTAGAGTGTACTTTCTTAAGTGCTTACTGCTTTGAAAAACATAAGAAAGAAGCGATCTAATGTTAAACAAAAAAAAGGAAATAAGAAATGATACAGGAACAGCAATTGAACCCTTTTTAAAATTAAAATTAGAGTAAAAATAAATGTTTAAGTTTATTAATAACTTCATAGTAGAGCATTCTTGTCATTTCAGAAAATTCATGATCCTTGAAATAAGAAAAATACCATGAAAGTACGCCAGATTGAAGCAAATTTCCCCCAACTAACTCTCTTTCTGTTTTGGATTACTGAAATGTAAGGGCCTACTGACCTTTTGTTCCCCAGATAATCGTGATCCAAACGAAGAATGCACTGTTTCAGTAGGTTTTCTCAACAAGTCTTCATCTGTTGTGAAAAGTACTTTCTCATTTATGCAGGCAAAAGTTGAAAAGTCATCAGTTAAATGCCATGAGTTGTTTCTGGTATTATCATAAGAAGGGAAAGAAGATCTATGTTGCTCCAAGGTGTGATATCTTGCACAAGAAGCATTCCTCAAGTCATCTTGGGTGGGACTTGAAATTTGCTGCCGTGTTGGTTTATCCCAGAAAGAATCGAAGTGAAACTGACCACTGTTGTGACTAATTGATGTATTTGAGAAAAAAATATCGTGAGGGGACCTTTCACAGGAAGAATTCTTGTCCAACAAACTGTGAGGAGGCAATCGAGGTGCATGCTTTGGCAACACTATAAAGCATCCTTCCTTGTCATTGTTGTTGCCCCGGTTAAGTTTATTGTCTTGAATCTGCACATGTGAGTCTGAATCCCTCTTCAACCTCTCTGAATCAGATAAAGCAAACATCTCTGCAAGAGTTTTTGAACCAATGGCACCTTCCTCATACTTGCGGCGGATTTTCCAGGGTGAGCTATTTGATGATGACCTGTTGCTTTTTCTGGAGTTAACTTCACTGCTAACACACTTCTGAGATGATCCAGTGTTATCCGTATCCACTGTGTTATATTGATCAAGTGATGAATCTTGTCGCTTTAACAGTGAATCTACAGCATTGCTAGTCAAGTGTCTTTCTCCTTTTATTCTAGGCACATTAATATCTTTAGTGCCTAAAAGATTTTGCGAACCCCTGTTCGTAGTAGAAAACTCAGCCTGCTTCATCTTTCTCCTGAAATTCTTATTGACATCAGAGGGTTCTGGTGTAGAAAAGGCATTACCTGAATGTTGGACTTCCCCTAAGCCTAGCTCCAGAACAACAATTTCTTTAAGTGAAGAGTTACCTAAACCAACAGGGTACTTCCTGAAAGTACTTGAAGTACTATCTTTCTCATATCGATAATTTGGGGAACAATTCACATCATAGGGGTGCTTCTCAAACAAAGGATTATTTATCTCTAGCGAGTTCAAGCGATCAAAACCATCTTGGTTCACTACATTGTTATCAAATGTTTCATCGCCGTAGGGAGACTTTGATGGCATAAGCTTTCTTAGCTTTAATGCACTTCGCTTCAAGCTTGGCAACCCTTTAGGGAAATTATGTGATCTCTCTTTCGTGACGGCCTCTTGTGGTTCCTCTGACACTTCGAATACATCCTTGAATTCCTGGTGCTGATTGTGGGCTACATAAGCAGGTGGCAACACATCAAGTCCCATCAGTTTTGCAATCACACTAGGTGATGGTCTCCTGTGCTCCAATTCCTTCAACTGATCCTTCCCGACAAGTGTTTTGGTTGGACAGCTGTTATTTCTTCGTGGCCTGCACTCCTTGTACCGATGCTCAAGCTACAAAAGTTATTAAAAACAAAAAAGGATACATATTTCTCAATCTTTACTTTTGACATTTCATCGCAAGAGCAATACAATGAAAGAGAAAGAATTAACTCACTGAAATCTGTTCCATCTTGGAGATTACTGTATGGAGGATCAGTTGAGATAAAATGTTGCTACATCATCCCACAGGTGAAGAGAACTTCTGCCTACACATATTCATGGAACATTTATAAAGTTATGGGGGTTCTATACTTCTATACAGAGAGAAAACTAATAAATGCGCATAAATTTTCCCTTAACTAATGAATGCTCGCAGAGAGCATCTTGTGCTGAACTGAACATCACAAATCACAACACAACAAACTGTCCCAAGAACATAGAGCGCACTAGATCTCCAAGTACAACGCCAATATTTCTTGCCTAAAGCAATTCAATTAAATCAGTAGTACTAGAACAAAAAAAATAATAATAATATCATCAAAATAATAATAATATCCCATAATGGATAATGCATACCATAACAAAGTCCTCAAGATACACATAGACCCACCCAACTATTGCATTTAAACGCACTTTCTACGCAATACGCATCAAAAGGCCAGGGACGGACCTAACGTGGGGCTCCCCAATATTATTATTATTATGATTATTATATCTTTTGGGAAACAAAGTGCTACTATTCCTAGACAGGTTAAGGCAAAGGAGGAAAAAAGAAAAAAGCTTCCAGATCCAGAGGAGATGCAGAGGTTAATTTAAACAGGGAAAAAAAAGGTTAGGACCGTGTAGAAAGAGAGATGAGAAAGAGGATGCCTCACGCGTGGGTGCTCAATGCAGCGGCGGAAGAAGATGCCGCCGCCAGTCGTCGGAGGGAGATCGGCGCAGGCGGCGGCGGGCGAGTCAAAATCGCCAGCCGACGTGGGGACGGGAGGATCCTCGTCGAGTCGGGAGGGGAGGAGAGGGGAGTAGTGAGTGAGTGTTGTTGGCGGTCCCGGTATTCATTCAATTACGGTCTGAAAAAATTAATGATTCAGGCCGTGATCACTCATAATTACGGACGGGATTTGGTGGTAGCACTCGTACCAGTAGCTGCCCAATTGCATTAATGGGTAAAAATAAATTCATCATTTTCCTTTCTGGCAGAAGGGTAGGAACTAGGAAGACAAGATGGGCCTTAGAATACCATTCCAGAAAGTATATTTTGTCTCCCTTAACTATAGCCCGGGTAAGATTAATGTTCCCCAACCATAAAACCAGGTATTTCATGCTTCCAATTAGTGAAACTGGTGCAAAAGGAGTTTTGGAGGCAGTTTCATCTTACATGGCTTGTTGACTGTGGCGGAGCCAGAATAAAATTATAGCGGGGCTAAACCAAAGTGGCCAATAAAAATTGAAACATGTCTCATATAAATTGGCTATATTTCTAATACATAGTATAAATATATAGATTAGAATTTTAGGAATATTATGGGGGCTCTAATGGTATATTAGGGGTAGGGGGTTCTAAAGACCCCCCCCCCCCAGCCCCCACGTTGTCTCTGCCGCTGCTTGTTGACTTGATCCACTCGGCTGAGTCAGCATGTGGGCTTACGTCTCACCCGTTTTGTGTTTAGAGGGCAAGAATCATACTCAGATCATAGTCGAGAGAGCAAATTAATGTCTCTCAATCACAAAACCGAATATTTCACGATCCCAACTAATGAAACCGGTGCAAAAGGAGTTTTTTTTTGAGAGCTCTCCACTTTGAGAACAAGCTGTAGTAACTGAACATACGTGCAAACGCACTCCACCACGCACACACACTCCACACACGCACCCCTACACGCATGCTAGACCTATCAACTATACACACATGTGCTAATGAGATACACAAAGCTACCTAAGGACCTTGTGCGTGACGAGGACGTCACTCTATTATTGTGGCGTTGGCACGGGAGAGCTGGAAATTTATTTGGGAATAAATCCCGGTGAGACGCGCGGGTGATGATCCCAGGGATCGAACCCGCACGGGCTGCTCGCTCACCAGCAATGCTAGCCAACCGAGCAACGCTCGGTTCTCAGTGCAAAAGGAGTTTTGGGGGCGGTTTCATCCGATATGGCTCGTTGACTTGATCCACTTAGCTGAGTTAGCACGTGGACTCACGTCTCACCCATTTTTGCGCTTAGATGGGAAACAATCATACTCGGATCATAGTTGAGAGAGTCAAAGTATACTTTATATTTCCTACCATCCCGTCAGGGGACCCAAAACACCCGGCCCCTCCGACTAGATGTGGCCCAACCCAACTCGTGGCCACGTCTCGCCGTGCATTTCAGCCGCTCTTGCCGTGCCACGCCCACTCCCACCCATTTCACAGGACGCGCGCGGCGCGCAACGGCTGGCCTCTCGCGCGACGCGAGGCGCGCGCCGATGCCAACTTGGCGAGGCGAGCAACGGGGCGCGTGGAGTTGGTGGCAATGGAGGCGTACGCGTGGTGTGGATAAGCCGCTTGTGGCCGCCTCACACACCCGCTCTCCTCCACCACACGCCGCCCAATCACCACCTCATATACCTCGCGATCCCTCTCACCGCCGATCGATCGAGACGACGCATCACCCATCTCATTCTCATCATCGTCGCGTGAGAGAGAGCTAGAGCTGAGCTAAGAATCATGGCTTCGGTGGGATTCGGGAGCAGAGTGGCGGCGGCGGGCGTGGCGCCGTCGGCGTCGTCGTCGTCGGCTGGGCGGAGGCGGCCGTCGCGGGTGGCGATGGCGGTCGGCGCCACGAGGGGGAAGCCGGCGCCGGCGGAGGAGGAGAAGAGCCTCGCCGACTTCATCTTCGGCTTCATCTTCAAGAAGGACCAGCTCGTCGAGACCGACCCGCTGCTCAACAAGGTCGACGGCGCGCCGCCCTCCGGCTCCACTGTCTCCCGGAAGGCCCCCGCCAAGAAGCCCGCGGCGAGCGCCGCCGACGAGGAAGGCGGCGGCGGCGGCTTCAACCTCGGCGCCCTCTTCGCCAAGAAAGGCTGAAGAATCCTTTCGAATTCTACGTACGTATATACTCCAACGCAGAGCGTCAGCTTGCCTACACGATCGATGTATTACCCTCCTCCTCATCAAACAGTTTGATTCAAACTCCAAGCTTAATTTGGAGGATGATTTGCGTATACGTAGCAACATGTGAGGTGTGACTCAAAAGTGATTAATTTTTTATGTGAAAATGTGGTTTATATACTTCATACAACACACATCATTTGTTATTTCTTTTCAACTCAACATGGATGAATGGATTAAAAGGGTTAAGCCTGCTGATCATGTTGTGTTTTGTCTCACAAAGCATATGGTAAAAGATTGTGTATGTTAACTTAGTGCCTACGTGTGAGGTGTGGTCCAAAGTGATTTTTGACGTGATAATGTGGTATACTACATCATTTCTTGTTCTTTCCAATTCAGTGTGAGGAGGATTAAAAGGGTTAAACCTGAATACCTGATGACATTGTTTTTTCTTATCTTACATACATATACTCCAATTTGGAGTGAACTTTTCTGTCAAGAAAAAAAATAGCAACTTTAGGTGTTGGTATGAAACTATGAATCAAATAATCTGGAGAGTTTTGCACAAAGATTGGCAGCCTCATCTTCACATGATCCCTCCGGCCGGCCTAGAGCCCGCTTGATTGGCGACTCAGATTGGAAGCACCAAGCCTTTTCTTTTATTTTGCACAATTTTTTTCTGTTCAACTTCATGAGCAGACAGATTGCAGAGAGTTCCAACCGGTGGCTAGTTTTGCAGAATGCTTTCTGCCTCACCACAATTATAGACCAAAACTGAACGCATACACAAAGTGTGTAACCTTATGAACAAGGACTATGCACAAAACCCATGAATGATCCACCAAAAAACAATTGAACATTGACCATATCTCTTTACAGTATATAATTGTTGATAGGTAAAGCGGCAGTGAGACCTCTTCATGTCATAAATACACATTAGGACATTTTTGCCTTTGCAAAGAATATCCCAGCAAAAAGACCTGTTAAGTACAATCAGGAGACATGTTATGTATACACACATTCATAAAGAAAATTAGACAGCAATTCAGCAGTGATGAAGCAAGTACTCACCAAAAATTATGCTAAACAAATTTTCAACACTCACTGGTACGTTGAAAAGCAAGATACCAGCCACCGAAATAGGTATCTTGTTCAGTGAACCAACAAGGCTGAAAACGGAAACCAAATAAAAAAAAATATCAACATGTAGTCAACTTTGCTGGAGTGACAACTATGCAAATATTATTTTAATGCAAATGCAAACATGTTTTATTGGCAACTTGAAGGAAGAGAGTTAGTAGTATCATATCACCTGTAAGTTGTTGGGCCAGTCCGATGTAAAAACCACACAGATGAGAAGCTAATTGCCAGACCTAGCAAACCACTAGCTGTTGCAAAAGCCCAGAACATAGGATCTCTAGTAACTTCACTGCAGATGAGAGGAAAACATCGTGTATAAGTACAAATGGAGAAGCATGGACAACAACCAATTCTGCCTTTGCAGCAACAGTTACAGGAGAAATCTAACATCAGGGTTCTCCCCTGATGTATTCCCGTTAAAAAACAACATGTGGAAACAACGAAAAGTTCATTGATCATCTAACTTCATATTCAAGTTGATTGCAATAGGCTGAAGCTTCATTTATGAGCAAAAACAGAACATCTTATTTATCGAAACGAAGCCAAGTTTAGAAGCAGAGTAGATGTACAGCAAGATTTTCATATGTCCTTTTGTGTTACTTGCATAACTGGTAAATTTTAGGGCAGATTACTTTTGAATGGTTAGGTTGGGAGTGAAGATTGAGTTCTTACACTTCATAAACGTATTGCCATTCGTCGAAGATAACAATCAAAATGAGTGCTAAAGGTATGGAGAGCGCATTGTTAAGTAACACCATAGAAACTTCATTGAGGGAACCGGATTTTGTTGATTGTTTGGCTACATCCATCACACGTCTTAGTGTAAGCTGTAACAAGAAGTAGGAAAATTATGTACAACCCATGTGACTAGTAGGAGGAACAAGAGAACTGAAGGATTAGAATACTTCCCAAAAAAAATCTGCTAAGAAGTTCATCAATATATTAATTGTAAAGAGGCTTGCAAAGTTGCAATATACTGTGGATGCAAAAACTATGATCAGAAAATTCGACTAACCGAGTAGCCTGCTGTCAGAAAGCAATTGAAAAGTTGCCACATGTAGCCAACCGGATGGAAAGAAAGATCTGTAATCCCCCCACATACAGCTGATATAACCTGCATAGCACAACAGAGATAAGCACCTGCTCAGTTCAACAACTATGCTGTTAAGGTGTAAAGTTCTTAATACAGGCCAACAATTACATAATTAGCTAATATTTGGAAGTAAACAAGAGGCACGTGGAGCAGAAAAGGACATACCATTAGACACAAGGCAGCCCAAACCTTTTTGTTCTGACCCTTCCTGAAAATATATATTTCTCCAACAGCTGTCAAAATGTTTGTCATGTTCTTTAATATCGTCACCATTGCAACATTTATGTACTTCAAACTGAAAAAACAGGAATATATAGCTCTGTTATACTTTGTGCAATATCATAAAAATAAAGTTCATTTGGATTTTGGATATTGGAGCTTTAGGGTGATGGACCGATTGTCATATATCATGTCGAAGAATTACGTACCTGTACATTCCAGTTACTAACATCCCAACAAAAATAAGATTCACTGGAATCCAGACTTTAATCAACTTCCATGTAAGTTTCTCCGTTGAAATCACACCAAAGAGCTCAAGTACCAGAAGAATTATCACGCTTATAAGATTCTGAGCCACAAAAACAGCCATGATCAGATCGATGATAGAACTTGTTTGCCAATGCAACCATAACATCACAAATGCATATGAATGCCGTTATGTGTAAGCCACTGAACTAATAACCAACTCACTGTGAATTTGTGATTACTTCAATGTCGGTTTGTGATTACGTCAGAGTGAATTTGTGATTACCTGGTACAGCATAAGCGATATGCCAGCATTGAAATTATAGTTGGAGAGTACAACTTTGTTGAGCAATATCATACTGCAAGAGGCAATACAGTAACAAATCCCCGAGAGTAGAGGTCCAGTTTTGTTTCCCCACTTGCTTTGCTGCTTCTGAATTAAGCTGTCAAAAACGTCAGAAGTCTTCCTCGACAACCTGGAAAATAGCATTCAAAACAATCCACCAGTCAATTTCTCCTTCCTTCCATATGAAGCTGAGACACAAAGAAAACAAGTAGTACTACTAAATTAGATTAGATTACTTGTTGGAAGCCGCTTTCCTGGCGACATTGGCGGCGACCTTGATGATGGAGTTGTTCTTCTGCTTGAGGAAGCCGTGGATGATCTTGTAGACGGAGGCGTCGGCGTTCTTGACTGCGACGGCGGCGACGCTGGTGTTGGGGGACTTGGCCTCCTCGATGTCATCGTACTCGGGCCTGTAGTCCAGCGACATGGACGCCGCACCTGCAAACGCGAGAGCAGTCACTCACTCACTCACAGCTCACTCACCATGTCAGACCTGAGATCGAACAGCAAGCGAGCCGCCATTGCCGTTACCTGGAAGAGATCCTCGGAAGCAGAGGAGGGAAGAACACGGAGATGATGAGTCGATGGGGGGAGAGGGGAATGGGAGGAGATGCTAAAATGGAGGAAGGGGGAGATGCCTTTCGACGGCATGAAGGGGCTTGGAGACGACGCAAAGAGGATGAGGCGGTGGAGGCCGCGGGGGGTCAACGGATCGGGGCGCGGCGGCGTGCGGCGGAAGGGAGGCCGGAGAGAAAGTCGCGGGGCGGCGGGAGAGCCGAGGAGGAGAAGGTCAATTTGGCGGCAATGGGTGGAGGAGAATTGTTGGAGTCAAACGCAAGTCAAGTGAGACACCTCACCCTGGAGAATTCACACACTCATCACACGGGTTTGACCTTGTTATTTTAGCCTTTTAGGGTAAGTACATTGTTTACATTGTTGGCATATGATTATGGTGATGATAGTATGTAACATGTCCATCTGACCATTTCACATGTTTCTTCCTCTCGTGTAACGTGTAAGTACATGTTTTTCATGTACTTTAGAGCGCCGAGAACGTTTTAGCTAATTAGCTACATGTAAAATGAGAAATATAATTAACTTATAATTAATTGAGTATTAATTTTTAAAACTTAAAAATAGGTTCATTTGATTGTTTAAATCACTTTTTATATAAAAAATTTTCTCACGAAATGTATCGTCTAGTAGCCTGAAAACATGTTGACAACATGTTGACAGAATACGAGCAGTAGCTAAGCTCGATTAGCTCTTTTGAGTGCGCTCTAAATTTTTTTTGTTATCATGGTTTAGAATTTCGGGTTTTAAATTGTAAACACGACAATATGTATAGACTATATAGGGGAGGATCTCAGTGTTTCCATCAGTTAAAAACCTCTATTATTCGTTTGCGCATGTGTTTGTTCAGCCTCTAAAAAATATTTCGATCGGTCACTGTGCCTACATGAAGTTTACACGCAAAATATAGTTGAAATGGACAAAGAAAACATTCACTTATTTATCCTGTTTAGGTAACTTCACTCGAATCATTTTACACGGTGTTTACTTGTGAATTAAAAAGTTAATCCTTCGTAAAAAGCTACTACCTCCGTTTTTGCACTTTAGATGTAATGAAAGTAATTTGATGCTATAAGTCAAAGTTAAAGAGATGTGTAGTTCAGGGTTCAGAATTCCGATAAAAATCGGTCAAGTTCCGTGAAATTTCGAGGTTTCGACGATGCTCAAAAGTAGAAGCCGTCTAAAATTTCGATGAGTTTCATCCAGATTTAAATTTGAATTGATAAAAAAAAGAAAAATAAATAAATAATATAATATTCGTAAAACCTATTAGGATATAAATTTTTGAAAAAAAAAGATATATTCCATGTATTTACTAATTTATAGTAGGAAAGAAAAGAACAACAAATTAAAAAAAGGAAATCACTTTCAGTTACCTCTCTTTTTTCCAGTTATCGATTGAAATTTCGATGGTTTCATTCGGAATTTCGTCAAAGCCGACCGGTTTTCGCAAGCTTATCGATAAACTCAGTGTATTTGCATTCAAATTTTGATTTATGAAATTTGTTCAGAATCTACCAGCTTCTCATTCTGCTAGAGCATGAAAAAGAAGGCCATCTCGGAATCGTAAACTGGTGCAGTTGCATGAAAGAAACGGAGGGAATACTGTTGAAAAAATCGTAAAACTAGCAAGACATTTTCTGTCCGTTGGATCTGCAATCGACGGCCAGACATAGGCCAGGTAGCTGACCTCCGGACGGGAACCGACCGACCTTCCTGGTGGTGGATGTTCTAGCCAAGAACCCTAAAAAAAAAATTCCCCATCTCCTCCCAATCTGATTCCTCTCGAGACGGCGGATCCGAGCAATCTCTCCGGCGGAGGCGGCGGCGGCGGCGGCTGACGAGGGAAGATGAATCCTCTGACGCAGGTGAAGAGGACGCAGGTAATCAACCAGAAGGAAGCGCTTCTGGGCATCGGCGAGGACGGGTCGTGGCACGCCAAGTTCAAGGACTCCGCCTACGTCTTCGTCGGCGGCATCCCCTACGACCTCACCGAGGGCGACCTCCTCGCCGTGTTCGCGCAGTGAGTAGTACCAGACCCCCCCACTTTTTATGTCTATGTTGCTCTTCGATCAATCATGGATGCAGCGCGGAAGATCTGAGCAGTGTGTGCTCTCTCCCTCAGGTACGGCGAGGTGGTCGATGTGAACCTCGTGCGCGACAAGGGCACCGGAAAATCCAAGGGATTTGCGTTTCTTGCGTACGAGGACCAGAGGAGCACGATTCTTGCTGTTGGTGAGGTTTCTTATCCTCTTATTTTTCACCTAGGTCGTTTCTGTATGTAGCTTTTTGTGCTTGATTCCTTATCGAATTGAAGTGCTGATCATCTTGGTGGTGTTTGTGTAATGGCGAAGATAATTTGAATGGAGCTAAAGTTCTTGGGAGGATTGTAAGAGTTGATCATGTGAGCAAATACAAGAAAAAGGAGGAGGAGGATGAGGAGGAGCTGCAGAAGAAGAGGGAGGCCCGTGGCGTGTGCTACGCGTTCCAGAAAGGCGAATGCAACCGTGGAGCTTCCTGCAGATATTCCCATGATGAGCAGGTAGGCTTCCTGCTTGTGTATTAACCAAATTGTTGTACATTCACTAGAAAAGGTTGCTGAACGAATCAGAAATCACTATCCTACGTGTAGGGTGTAGCACTGTAGCTGTTTGCATTAGCCAGCAGAAACATATTTCTGGATCAGTTATTAGGTAGAAAATGGGTACCGTGTTGTTTCACTACAAGTTTTTTGGGGTAAATGGACCAATGTTTTCTCATGGTGAGGCTATGCTGGAAAGTTACATTTGCAAGATGCAAGGCCTTTAGTAGGTTCTTACATGACTATGAAATCAAATATGATCTACTATTTTTAGCAGAATATTTGACAAGGCATATGTTCTTTTTTCTTAATTGTTCCTGGACTATGTCGTGGTTTGTAATTGTAGCCAAGACTTATGTGCACTTTAATTGATTGAGCTGATTGGGAATTCTATAGTGGATATGTGAATTAGGAGGAACATCATTGTGTATGTTGTACGCTGTTGGAAATGCAAGATCAATTTCATTTTGTCCAAGATGCCTAGATACAACTATATGGTACAGACTATTTCCCTGCACCAGATTTCTGTTGTTTTGCAAGAAAAATACAATATAGGACTGCCATTGTGCCTTTTTATAATGTAGTATGGAAATGTTTTCCGTTAATATAGGATTGTCATAGTTTATGAATAGCTTCAGTAATTTTACTGTCTCAGTTTATCTGTCTGGTGACTAACATGGATGCACATGAACTATATTCTATATATACCTATACTTGCAGAGGAATGCAAACACTGGTTGGGGTTCTAAGGAGGAGAGCAAAGCAAGATGGGAGCATGACAGACACCATGAGCCACCGATGAGCCACAAGAAGTTCCCTTCGAGTGCTGGGGAACAAAGGTTCCCTGACAGAGCTAAAGAGGAGAACAAATCAACTGGCAGGGAAGGGCAGTCCTCAAGATCGGAGGCATACAAAGACCGTGATTCCAGGCTTAGGCATAGTGATAGAGGTTCAAAAGATCATGACAGGTATAGGCATGATAGATCACCTGAGAGATCAAGAGGTGATAGGCAGAGAAACAATGACAGATATGCCCAAGGAAGAGATGAAAAATCAGAAAGGTACAGATCTGAAGTGAAACATGATGAAGGAGACCAGAAGCGATCAAGGCGGGACACTGATTCTAGTGGACATTATGAAAGGAGGGGTAACGAAGATTCAGAAAGGTACAGGAAATCACGGAGATAAAATTTGGATTTGTTGTTGCTTCAGACGTTGTTCTGATCTGTTCGATGTTTGTTCTTGTACGAGATGGATAAGATTTTTGTTTGATCCTTGGGTCTGATATTAGTCTAATAGATGCCATAGATTACATTTGAGATGATTTTGAACGCACTGGCCCATAGACCATAGACGAGTTTGCAGGATGTTAACTCAATACATTAATTAATCATTTGTGATCAATGTTAATACACTTGTCTGATGAATCAGCAGCTTGGAGCCTTTTTAAGAAACTTTTTTTAAAAAAGAAACTTTTGAATATTGCTGACGTTACGAAGAGAACATAACGGCAATTTCCTTCTCTTTTGAAAATATGCATTTGTAGAGCTTGTTCAGTTCTTTATTTTAAAAAAAAACTTACCATTTGTTGGTGAAGTCAAGATTTAATGATGTGAAGGGTAGTGTTTAGTTTGACACCTTATCAAATTTTAGTATAGTTTTGTGAGTAGAAGTTTCTAAATTACTGAATATAATAATATAGGTAGAGATTGGGAAGGTTGTGATGGTAAAATCATGTTTAGTTTGCTGTCTTACTAAAATTTGATATTGTTGGTGACACTCAAGAACACGTTCTACAGCTCATCTCCAGCTATCGCATCCTGAACACAGGTTAACCAGCTGTCAGACATTCCATCTGCTATACATTTATTGAATTTATTACGATGGTTTAATCCAAAGCAGCGAAATCCTACAGCACAAGGGCCGGAATGGTTTCTGCTCTACTAGAAAGCAACAGAACATAAAACAAAGCTGTCCTAAACTGGGTGATCTTTTTTTATCTGAAAACCTAAGCTGGATGATCTACTCATCTACGAATGTAGACTCGGCAAGATCGATGGCACGAGCAAGGCCAGCAGCCTTGTTCAAGCACTCCTGATGCTCATCGTCAGGCTTGCTGTCAGCGACGATCCCAGCTCCAGCCTGAAGGTGAGCCACCCACTCCTGACGAGCATTCTTGTCAGTGTAGGAGTACATGGTGTCGAAGCGAGATCCCGTGGGGAAGACGATGGTACGGAGAGCAAGTGCGATGTCCATGTCTCCACGGAAAGAAACCCCTCCAAAGCCACCACTGTACGGCCCACGCATCTTCCCTTCCATCTGGTCAATCAGCTCCATCGCTCTCACCTGGTTGAAGACGAGGATGAGAGATTGAGCTCGGTGGAACATGAATAATGCATGGTAGATGTTACTCCCTCCGTTTCAGTTTATAAGACTTTCTAGCATTGTCTACATCCATATATATGTTAGTGAATCTAGACATATATATGTGTTTAGATTCATTAATATTTATATGAATGTGTGCAATACTATAAAGTCTTATAACCTGAAACGGAGGAAGTAGATGAAACGAAGGAAAGGCAGTGGTTAACAAACTATGGTCAACAGTCATGTCAATATCTGATGAATATGATGGCGCATATAGATATATTGAGTTGGCAGAGTGTTTCTCGTTTTCTTTCTGAAACAGCATTCAGGTGATGCAACCATACGGTGCCAACATGTATTTCCTTACCTTTGGTGCACCACTAACTGTTCCAACGGGCAATGCTGCTCGAAGAGCATCCCAACAAGTCAGATCATCACGCAACTCTCCAGTAACCTACAGAAATGCAGAAACAGACCTTGTGAGAACTATTAATAAGTAATAACACAGCCATGACGAATCTTAGTAGATATGACAGTAAGAAGGATGGTTCCTAGCTACTAGTTACTCCAACAACTGTACACAAACAATACTTGATTGTCCAAGGATATTGGATATTGTCAAAGCTGTATATCATACAGGTAGACTTACTGTTGAGCTAATGTGCATGACATGTGAATATCGTTCAACGTTCATCAGTTTCTCCACCTTTACTGAACCTGGTTTGGACACCTGAAAAAAAAAAGGCAAAAGTTTATCACAGATCAGACTAGATGAAGTCAGAACTCAGAAATGTAATGAAGCCAATTATAATAGCAACAGGATGCTCAACATAAAAAATAGAGAGTCCACCTTTTCTAATTAAATCAGGCCTTTGTTATCACTAATGCACAGACCTATTTTTCTACCGGATCTTAAAATAACGCATTCTATTATTCTGTTACCTGTTATGAGGGCGTCAAAAACAGTAGACTCTTTAGCTGCTCTGCAAACCTATTGTTTACATAAAAATGCAGCACATAAACTAGTTTAGGTGAGAATAAGACAAGTGAATGACCCTTTTTTGTGTGTGTGTGTGTGTTTTGCGAGTGGACATTGAGACATTTCTTGTCACATTCTGGTAATAACATGATAACTATGCTCCTCGGAAGAAACTAGACCATCTTAGATAGAGAAGCAAGGGTCATTTACAATATCACTGTATTATAGTGATTGAAACAAAGGCAGGTGCTGCTATAAGTTGTCCAATTGAATAATATTGTTTTTTTTTTGTATGCAGAAAACAGAGGAATGGAATTGATTGAGAACAAAACAAATGCATGGAAAATCAAACCTTTCCAACATCATTCCGTCCAAGATCTACTAACATAATATGCTCAGCACACTGCTTTCCATCACTCAACAGCAGTTGTTCTAAAACTTTGTCTTCTGCTTTCGATTTTCCTCTTCTAATTGTTCCAGCAAGTGGCCTGTTAACAATTGTCCTCTGGCAGACAGAAAATTCACTCTGCATTAATATTTCTAGAGAACTTTTACAGGTGCTACAGTTAGGGAGATCATAGTACCTTCCCTTTTGGAAACACAAACTGCAAGAAATGGATAGTTTTAAAAGGGAATTGCAAGGAGCAGTTCTCTGTTTTTGGAGAACAAAGACACAGAATAGTAAACAGTTCAGTATGGGAAGTCCATTTCAGAGTCACTACACTTGTTTATTATTGTTGTTCTTGCAGAAAATCACACCCAAAGACCCAGTATTTCATCAGATACTAGAGGTTAGTGCAGATAAAGAGACTAAACACAGAAAGTGTCTTTGTCATGGCACATAAGAAGCAATAATTAGATATGTGCATCCCTTAGACAATAATGTGTTATTCAATTTTGAAACTTCTCAAGAGGAATAAAACTAGGAGTGATGGTATATAAATACTAATTAGGTGCCTGTTAGCTATGGCATATCAAAAGGAATACTTTAAACATCACATGCTTCTACCCAACAGAAAGCTAGTCACAGCCCTCATTGCAGTGTTTCACCTGAGAGATGCCTTTTCCGCATCACATTAAAGGACTCACTAGTTCCTTACCGCATCAGCCAACTACACAAATTTAGAACTTTTGGATTCAGTGTTACATTTACAGCTGAACCTTCCTTATACCAACTATGGGTTTTCATGTATCTTTTCTGTTCAAAGATACAAGTTACATCACAATCATTAGATTTAGACGGCCACATAACACATAGAATAGAGTATAAGCCCCTACTTCAGCGTACCTTTTCCACCCGGGTAAGAATTTCAGGACTTGATGCTACCAGAATACAACCACGAGCCTGTGACGATATTATAGGATATAAAGCATGTTGTTCAGCATGACACATAATTTACCATAAGAAATTTCAACAGGAGTACTGAAAATATTCGTCACCTGTAGATAGGCCATATAAGGACTAGGATTGACAATACGCAATGCACGGTACACCTCAAAGGGGTCAGCAAATGTCCGCCTCTCAAAACGCTGGCTTAAGACTACTTGAAAAATGTCACCAGCTAGAATGTGCTCTTTTGCTTGAACAACAGCTTTCTTATAGTCCTCCCTTGACATTGATGATTTCTGTAGTGCTGACCCAAATTGCCCAACGTTAAGTTTTACAGAACCAGCAGTAAGAGTTGGCCTACATATAAGTTGATTGAAATATGTTAGTGAGAAGCAGAAATCTAGGACAAAATAATAGCACTAATCAAAATGGATAAATGGAAAATGGAGGTTGATCAGTCACTGTAACTCACACATTAACACTATGTAATCTTGATAACAAAGCTTCCAGCTGATTCTTCCCGTCCTCATATGCTTCGTCAACTGACTCATGGCAATCTACCCTCACCCAATGTATAACATGTGTTTTCTAGAACAAACAAAACAGAAAACGTGAAGCCGATGGTTACAAGTAACTATACTCGTAGTTCCAAAAGTGGTGGTTATAGTAGACACTTAGCAAAAGCTGAAAAAATGTGTCTTATTTTTTATGGCGTTAACTATTTCAGAATTTGTTGTTCTCTAAATGGGCCTTGTTCATTTGTGAATAGTAAGAGTCTACATAGGTTGGTGGTGGTCAATTATGAAATGGTGAAATTTTGAATCAACAACAGAGGGTGGCATAATAATAACTAATCAAAATTGAAAAGTAATACAATGACATAAAAAAAGGAAAAAAAAATTACCCCATATAAGAACATGACATAAACAAACAGTTGTAACGGCATATAAAAGATAAAACCAGAAGGCATAACTAGCATACGTTCTTTAACAATTTAACCTTTACTTCTTAAAGCATATTTGTAAGACAAAAGGCAGGATTTGCGGTTCGGATATGCTTATGTCTAAAGTACAGGATATATGATTACCTAAATTACACACAGTTCATAAAAGTAGTCAGGGTAATTATTCATACCTTTTCAACATGATCAAACACAACTATGTCATTGTAGAGGCCTAAATGGATGTCAGGAAGGTTCCTATCATCCTCTGGCGCGTTAGAAAATGGAAGCTTCTTTGTTTCAACATAACGCACTGTGTCGTAAGAGAAGAATCCAACCCATCCTCCTGTAAAATAAATCCCAAGATGCAACAGAATAAATTATCATGGCTTTAGAGGGAATATATTTGCAAGACCACTTTGTTAGCTGAAAGAAAAAGACAACAACGCTGTACAAAGCCATATAAATCTCAACTGGCTGATGTCGACAACCGTACAAAGCCGTACAAATCCAAACTGACTGATGTATCATTTTCATTGATCTACTAGAATAAAAGCGATCGGACAAAAAGTACTAAAACGAAACACGTGTACCAGTTGGTTTCGGATGAAAATGGGTCCAAGAGAACCACTCAATGATCAACCACCGTTTATCGTTATAGCTTTTGTTTTTTTGCTGGGACGTTTACCGTTATTGCGGTTACCATTATAGCTTCACAGACAATCACCAACAAGACAGGTGCCTACTATAAGTAGAAATGCAATATCACACTATTATAGCCAACAATCATCGCATTCTCATTCCAGGATTCCAGACTAGGACAGATAAGTTACCACAAAATGCATCAGGGAGGCCTTCAACAATCTGTGGGTTCCACTGTTCCATAATGCTCCTTGGTATCTTCATCGGGTCAGGCGCAAATTGCTCCCTCCTAGACTTCATCTTATGATCCATGACAGTCACATGGTTGGCCTTGGCTACGATCTCCATCGCAGGCTGTGCCCCAACCACACTGTACCTCCCCTGCAAATTATCCAGGAAACCCTCATAACACTGTTGGAACAAAAGGGAACAGATTAAGCGGATGAAACAGTACCACATTGGTGCCCTCGGATCCCTGCTCGACGGACTCAAACAGGAAGCTGGGCGCCTCGCGGTCGTCCTCCCTGACGAGGCAGCGGTACGCGAGCACCGGCGTGAGGTGGTCGGAGAAGATGCATCGCTTGAGCGGCAGGATGTTGCAACCCTCCGCCGCCCCCGCCTTGAACTTGGACTCCTCCTCCCTCACCGCTGCGGCCACGAGAACACACATTTCAAATCAAACCACCAATCCGCAAACCAAGACATGCCCCCCCACATTTGATACGGAGACTCACCGACGGCGTCGAGCTGCTGGAACGTGGCGGCGCGGCAGGCGACGGCCCCTCGTCGGCCGCGGAATCGCCCCCCGCCCAGCCCCAGCGGCGGCGTGGACGGCGCGATGCGCAGGGAGAGCACGAGGCTGGCCATAGGTGGGGGATAAACTCTACTGGACCGAGCCGTTGGTGGGGACTAGTGCAGTTGAGAGAATGCGGGATCGGGGCCGCATTTAAATAGGTGCGCGGCGCGCCGCGCGGAGGCGGCGAGGGGCTCGGGCGCGGCGCGGCGTGCGCGCGCGGTGCGGTGGGACACGTCGCGGCCGAGCCGGGCGTTTCGCCGAGCAGGTGGTGGGCGAGGTCGCGTGCGCAGCCGCCGTGCCGCTCCAAGACTCCAGAGAAAGGGATTGAGTTAGCCGCGGAATACCAGCTACGGTTACCTCTGCTTCTTGGAAAAAGTAAGGGCTTTATTTCTAAAGATTATTTTTTCCTTTTCTTTTTTTCCTTTTTGGGACGGATATGCTTATCCGCCACGACATTTTGTTGTTGCCAAATCACTGAATTAATCGTTTCGGGGCAGCAAGATAAACACGTGCAAACTCTGACACATTATACATTTTTTTTGCCACATTATACGGTTCTTTTAACGACTAGATAACACGAAATTTATATTGATAAACATGAAAAAGTTTATAAGATCACAACTATGAGATATGAGATATCGTAACTAGAAAAACGAAAAAAAAAAACTATCACCCACACACTGATACCTGAATACATACCTGAATGAATGAAGACTAGCATCGGACCGATCGCTGCTATGTGTAACCGGCCGCCGCTAGGCCACCCACATTATACGTATATTATTTTATAAACACGTCCAAATACCATTGTATCATGAAGCGTTGATGGAGAAATACAATGCATTAACCAGCAAAGCTTTATCGGTGACAGTGACACTCAATACAACAGATAGCATAATTATCCACTTCTACAATTCCTAATAACGTCTTCTCAATGAAAGTGTGCCACTCAATGACAATTATCCAGGGTTTATTGGGCCCTTCTAATGGGTGCTCGATCGCCAGCTATCACGCTGGGCGATCAGTTCATCCCCCCCTCCCCATATACTCCTCCCTCTTCTCCCTCCTTCCTCCTCCCCTTCTTCTCTTCCTATTACAGTACACCACACAAATTTTTTTTAAAAAACAAAAAGTTAGAAAAATTCATGTATAGAAATACTCTATATAAAAAATTTGAATTCAAATTCAAATTTGAATTGGGTATGTAAACTTTTGACTTATAAACTTTGGGTCTATAAACTTTAGGTGTATAAACTTTTAGATGTATAGAAATACTATATATAGAAAATATTTGAATTTAAATTTGAATTTGAATTCAAATTCAAATTTGAATCGGATATGTAAACTTCTGACTTATAAACTTTAGGTCTATAAACTTTAGGTGTATAAACTTTAGATGTATAGAAATACTATATATAAAAAATATTTGAATTCAAATTCAAATTTAAATCGGATATATAAACTTTTGGTCTCTAAACTTCAGATGTGTAAACTTGAGATGTATAAATTTTAGGTGTATAAATTTACTAAAATAGAAAAAGTAATACGGTAAAAAAAAAAGAAACCATGTGGAGGGGTGGAGGGAGGGAGGGGGGAGGGGATCGATCGCTACCCCCATCCCCGTAGCGATCGATCGTCCATCAGCATTCCTGGGTTTTATTAGCCGTAATTAAATGTTGGTGCTCTAACTCGTTTAGGCCTCGTTTAGTCTGAAAGAGATGCTACTGCTGCCGAAGCAACATTTCATGGCCCAAGTAAGGCCCAGTGAGAACTTGGGCTGCCCATGTAAATTTCTGTTTGGGGATATGGGCCGAGCCTTGTTGAGTACTCTGTATTTTGGGCCGCATCTTCGCGTCATGACATGAATGGAACGATTTTTTTTTTTGAGAAATACGAAGTCGAATGAGCGAATCGCTGATGTAAACAAGGTAGATTAGCTTAACTTGCACGATTTGGACGTGGAGCAGAACAAGCCTTTCAAAAGGGTAGAAAAAAATTTCACGAGGCGTAGAAAATTACTCCAGATTGATCGGATATTCTGCTGGCCACGCATATGCTGCTCATCTGACCTTTCGATTGCCTGGTCATTTTCACAGATACATTTTATTCAATCTTTTGCCGTGCTAGCTGAATTAACTGCGGACAAAAGTAATTAAGTTGCAATGGACCTCTCCTTTTAGTTTTCTTTTAACAAGGATACCGTGACAGCCATGTGGTTTGTGCTTGATTAATGATGGGTCTCACTCTTCTTTTGCAAGTATATGTTTGTCGGTCCCTTAGAAAAACAAACTAACGAACAATTAAATAATTAAGAACAGTATGCCTGCACCGACTACACCCCTGATTATTGGCATGCACCGTTTTGGATGATTGGCTCATATTTTCTATTACAACTTGCTTGCCATGTGTAGGGTTTAGTTTTATATAGCTCTTACAAGAATTGAACTATTTCATATGAAATTACAACATTTCTGGTGATTTCTAGTCTCTACATCCTCTGTAAAAAAACAATTCTAGCTATAAACCTACCAGAGACACACGTGTCAGGTTCATAGTTAGAATTAAGTTTTTCTATAAGATGGAGCAAGTCTTTGACTGAACCCATTTTAATTCCATTGGTTATATGTGGTGTTTAAGGGGAGAAAAGGACGTATAAGTAAACCTTAACAGACAATAGTTACAAAAGACTTCCAAATATTGAATAAAAAAAGAACAGGGAATAGTTGGTGTTTCCTACTCCTAATCATTGTCTTTTTACTCAACAAATGCTGATCAGACAATCTGGAGGAATCAAGGAGACGATGTTTAATTGTAATTTAAGAATAGCATACATAGCTACTTAAAAGGCAAGTTACAAAAAGACAAATTCTAACTCTCTTTTTTAGATGAAAATTCTAAAACTCTGTTTTTTATATTTCACAAGTCTACCAAACATGTGGTTTGTGAGAGATGAGGCATCCTGGAATGAACTGACTATAGTGTAATGTTAGAAAAATTTCGAACAGGTACTCCTACTTGTTACGCCTCTTTCTCAATGGGAAAAAAAAATCGTACTTGTCATGATAAGATTCCAAAGAAACACACAGTCGTGGCAAATCCTAATCTGCAATCTGCAAGTAGATTTTTTTTTACATAAATCTGCGAGTAGATTGTTCTAAGGCAATCTCTCATCTCATGACTAGACTTTGACAAGTTGTATTAGTATAATCGAAGGTTAAAAAAATGCAGTATTTGTAAAATCCGAATTTACTAACTGATAAATACTCCATGAAAACAACACATGGATGCGTGTGGTTGTCGCATAGTTCCAATAGAAAAGAGAACCCCAAGAAAAAAAAATCTTTAGATTCCTGTAATAGCATATGCTTTCCCATTAGGTAGAGAGAGCAAAAGAGAGAACCTTCTCCGACACTGCTCCCCGGACCCCACAGACCAGTGACCCCACCAGTCAGCGACACATTCACCAACACTCGTGGGCCCGCGTTGCGGTGAACCGTGAACGCAGCGACCCCCACTGACTATGACACTGGGTCCCACCTGTCAGGCGGTAACTGCTTTCCAAGTCTAAAGTCCAACCCCCGCACGGGTAGGAAAGGAAAGAAGAGGAGAGGAGACACGCAAAAGCAAAGCAAACCACTCGCCGAACACCAACTCCTCGCCGCCGCCGCCGAGGAGGAGGAGGAGGGAGCGAGCTTGACGCCGGCGCCATGGCGGGCGGGGGAGGTAGGGAGCGGCGCGGCGGGGGGAGGCTGCTCGTCGGGGTGCTGCTCCTGACGCTGGTGGTGTCCGGGCACTGCCTGGAGAGCACGCACCACCGCGGGCTGAAGCGGCGGCGGCGGAAGCACGAGATCCACTCGCCGATCAAGACGGTGGTGGTGGTGGTGATGGAGAATCGGAGCTTCGACCACATCCTCGGGTGGCTCAGCCGCACCCGCCCCGACATCGACGGGCTCAACGGCACGCAATCCAACCGCCTCAACGCCTCCGACCCTTCCTCCCCGGAGATCTTCGTCACCGACGAGGCCGGCTACGTCGACTCCGACCCCGGCCACGGCTTCGAGGACATCCGCGAGCAGATCTTCGGCTCCGCCGACACCTCCGCCGTGCCGGCCCCCATGTCCGGCTTCGCCCAGAACGCCCGCGGGATGGGCCTCGGCATGCCGCAGAACGTCATGAGCGGGTTCAAGCCGGAGTCCGTGCCGGTCTACGCCGCCCTCGCCGACGAGTTCGCCGTGTTCGACCGGTGGTTCGCCTCCGTGCCCACCTCCACCCAGCCCAATCGCCTCTACGTCCATTCCGCGACCTCCCATGGCCTCACCTTCAATGCCCGCAAGGACCTCATCCATGGCTTCCCGCAGAAGACCATCTTCGATAGCCTCGAGGAGAACGGCTTGTCCTTTGGCATCTACTACCAGAACATCCCGGCCACGCTCTTCTACCAGAGCCTCCGCCGCCTCAAGCACCTCGTCAAGTTCCACCAGTACAGCCTCAAGTTCAAGCTTCACGCCAAGTGGGGAAAGCTGCCGAATTACGCGGTGATTGAGCAGAGGTACTTCGATTGCGAGATGTTCCCTGCAAACGATGACCACCCCTCGCACGACGTAGCGAGGGGGCAGAGGTTCGTCAAGGAGGTGTATGAGACGCTGCGAGCGAGTCCGCAGTGGAACGAGACTGCTCTGATCATCACCTATGATGAGCATGGTGGATTCTATGACCATGTGCCTACGCCGGTTGTCGGGGTTCCACAGCCTGATGGAATTGTTGGCCCTGATCCTTACTACTTCAAGTTTGATCGGCTTGGAGTGCGCGTGCCTTCTTTCCTTATCTCACCATGGATCGAGAAGCGCACTGGTAAGTACTTGTGCTGTTTGCATCTATTCCCTTTCAAGAAGTTATTCCTTGAATTTTGATGTCTATAAGTAAAGACTATTGATTAGCGAACTTGTTAAGATTAGTCTCTGTTAGTATGAATTTTACTGCAATATTCGAGGGAGAATTTGTCATTCATTCTCCACAGAAACATTCATCGAGTAACATAGGTGTGTAGGCTAGGTAATATAGACCGAGCCTTTGAGTTTCCATAGTAGATAACATTTCAAAAAGTTGCATATGAATAAAAAAGTGCAAGACATTTTTAGCTAACTTGTTCTATGTAGCAAACATGAGTTCTATGTTTGCTCTTTGCTTGTAAAGTTGTACTTGACAAACCAAGGAACTTGAACGTTGAACCACTGTAAGGCACAACTGTACAAGCAAAGAGCCAACTAGCATGTATCATGCTGTTTTATGTTGGAAGGGCCAGTTGTGCCTTACACAACCATAGAAATATTTTAATGGTGTTCTGTTTTGTATATCTCTTAGTATTAACTGGTCTTGCTTTTCATTTCTGCAGTGATCCATGAACCAAATGGGCCGCAGGACTCCTCACAATATGAGCACTCATCCATCCCTGCAACAGTAAAGAAGCTATTTAATTTACATTCTAACTTCCTGACAAAGAGGGATGCATGGGCTGGGACCTTTGAGAACTACTTCAAAATCCGGAAAACACCCAGAACTGATTGTCCAGGTATATAGTTTTGTGTTCATTATGTTATTATTAGAAGATATATGTACTCTACTACACCAATGCCATTTTGTTGACGCTGACAATTATTTAGGGAAAGTATCACAAAGTTCAGATATTGTAGAGCATTCTGTTCTGGAAGCTCCCAATGCTTACAGTTGCTTATCAATGCAGAGTTTTGGAACTTAGTTAATTATTACTGAAATTGCATTGCAACCTAATTATATATGTTATTGTTTCCTAACAGAGAAACTCCCAGAGGTCACAAAGTCTCTGCAACCGTTTGGCCCTAAGGAAGATTCATCTCTGTCAGAGTTTCAAGTGGAGTTGATTCAGCTTGCTTCTCAGCTCAATGGTGACCATGTACTCAACACCTACCCAGATATTGGCAGGACTATGACTGTGGGTGAAGCAAACCGCTATGCAGAGGATGCTGTTGCTAGATTTTTGGAAGCTGGCAGGATTGCTCTAAGAGCTGGTGCAAATGAATCTGCTTTGGTCACCATGAGGCCTGCACTCACCAGCAGAGCCTCACCGTCCTCTGATTTATCATCTGAACTCTGATGGATTGTTCTCAGATTTATCCACAATTCTGCATCATGATTTGCACCGCGTCAGCTTTTGGTTGATGAGAACTCGTACAATGTGCTAAGAAAACATAGGTAGGTTGGTGTACGGCAAAGTGTGCTAGTATTATGTAATTGATAGATCTTAAACATGGCTTTGTACATAGACATCATGATACTTGATATCTCAAGCTTTTACTTCAGCTGTCCTCTGATAACGCTGAGATATCAGCTCAGAAGTATCTGATAAGATCCTACTCTGGATAAGCTGGAGAGGGAATTTGTAAACCATCGATATTCAGCTCTGTACCTGCTTATTCAGCAGTTGAACTGCACTTCTGATGAAATACTTTATGTACACCAGTTATAGTGGTATTGAAAGATTTGGCCCGTATGAATGTATGATGTTTGTACCAGTTTGCATCTGTTATTTCTAGCTTTAAACAATCTGTGCGTTAATCTGCCCAACTGTAGTACTGTACTATAGGCATAGTATGAACTGGTTGTTCAATGCTGATTTTGTCAGCTTGTCAGGTGAAAAATTACAATCCCTCCCTTCCAAAATATAAGAACCTAAAATTGGATGGGACATTATTCGTAATACTGAAAAATGTCCTATTCTATCCAGATCCGTAGTATTAGGAAATGTCATATCCGGTCCTAGGTTTTTATATTTTCGGATGAATAGAGTACTATATTCCTGAAACCATATGGTATTAGGGCCCGTTTAGTTCCCCAAATTTTTTTCCCAAAAACATCACATCGAATCTTTGGACACATGCATGAAGCATTAAATATAGATAAAAAGGAAAACTAATTGCACAGTTATGGGGGAAATCGCGAGACGAATCTTTTAAGCCTAATTAGTCTGTGATTAGCTATAAGTGCTACAGTAACCCACATGTGCTAATGACGGCTTAATTAGTCTCAAAAGATTCGTCTCGCGATTTTCAGGCGAGTTCTAAAATTAGTTTTTTCATTCGTGTCCGAAAACCCCTTCCGACATCCGGTCAAACATTCGATGTGACATCCAAAAATTTCCTTTTCCCCAACTAAACACACCCTTAGATTCTTAATTTCAACAGTTTTAGTTGCTTGCAATTTAAAAAAAAATGAACTTAGGACTGAACGGCATTGCTTCTTGCTCATCAAGTCACCAGCCAAACATAACAAAAACGTGGGATGGAAAACCAAGCAAAATCTCAATTGCACCTTGGCTCCAGTTGTACAACTCCAGTACATCCCTGATGAACACAATGTCGAGGGAAAATAAAAGATGACACTTGCAGGCTCTGCTGCCAAATGTTTCTGTTCTGGCAGTCGGAAGAGACATTGGCTGGGCTGGAAGAGGAGTTTTGCATTGTTCAAAAAGAAAAAAAAAAGCATCAATTGATCAATACATGGCCAAGCGCATTTGCCTGGTTTCTAATCCATCCATAATTCTCGATGTATAGCATTTCAGTGTTTCACCATTTCTCCACATATAAGAATGTGTACAGGAAAGCAGTATAAACCCATCAGCGACAAGGGGTGTATAGAAGATAAATTCTCGGTCAAAACTAATGTCAACGGAAAATAAGACGAAATACCAGTTTCATGCTCTACCAAAAAAATCCATGTTTCCTTTCCATTTTACTGGCGTGTGACTGAATTTAGGCCTTCCTCTGTTGCCATTTGAGAAAATTCCATTTTACTGGCTTGTGACTGAATTTATGCCTTTGTTGCCATTTGAGCAATCTAACCCTAATGATGATCCACTGGATTTTCGCTACTGCTTGGTGTAGATGAGGTACACAAGAGCGCCCAGATGCTGTACTTCCAGGCCTGCCTTTTCGCATTCTTCGAAGAAGAGGGACTGGTCCTTGCCAATTCTTCTACGGCAGCTCATCAGAAAAATGGGAAACTTAACAGGCACTTGAGTTCCTGCAAGTGGAGAAACTCACTAAAGGTATTCTTATGTAGGCAATATGTACAAGTTAGAAGAATGCATTATGTAGGCAGTACCTGATTTGTTCGTGATGGCTGTACTGGCACTTGAACCAGCATTCTGACTGCAGCCCTTGTATTCTTTCAGGAGAAAGGATAATGTTCTGGTTAGGTTTGGATATTGTTTGACATCTAAAAGCAGAAGTGTATATCATATTAGCATACAGCACCAAAGTAAGGTATGATGACTCGAGATATTAACAATGAACACTTACACAATAAAATGTCACTGGCGATAACAATGTCCCAATCTGGTATGAGAACTGGAAACTGATCTCCCCATGTATCTGAGGGTACAAAAGAAACAATAGGAATCAATTTTTCCCTTTTGGTTGGTGCATCTTCCCTGCACCTAAAAGGCATAATTACAAGTCTAGAAGTACTTAGTTTTCTTACGCCGGATATGAGGAAGGACACCCAAATCATTAGCTTTGCAGTTGTAAGCTATATTCTCCTGGATCTCCCCATCATCGTAATCAGTGGTTGTGATGTCTACTTGAAATGCCTTCCGCAGGAAGATGGCCAAAGCTCCCGTCCCACTGAACAGTTAAATTTACACCATTTATCATGTTAATAATCTTTGAGAAACAGCCTAGTTATTATCAAGACAGGTATACTGAATCTCATAGGCAATACAATCACAATCAAACTAACTGCTTAGTTAACTTGCATACTCCCTCCGTTCCAAAATATAAGGGATTTTGACCGGATGTGACACACCCAACCAAAATCCCTTATATTTTGGGACGGAGGAAGTACATCACACCGCTACATCTTGGCAGCATGATAACATAGATGTTTAAATTATTATAGCAGGAAAAAAAAGAGAGAACCATTTTCAGATATAGATTAAATATATGATATATTTATTCATTGGTTTTCTGGTGACAACTAACAGAAGTCTAATAAATAGCCCTTCAGTAATCACCTAGATATAGAAACCACTAGCCAAATGCTTATCAATCAGTATGAGCAGAAAGGAAACAACACATTTTCATACAGCAAGGCATAGCCTCCATACCTTCCCAATTCCAGGATCCGCCGTCCATGCAGAATCGATTTATTCTTTACCAGCCAATCAGCAAATAAGAACGTCCCAGGCCATAGCATGTTAGCATTCAGCTGATGACTTGAGAATTCCCTTATTTTCAGTTCCTGCATGCCATTTCCAAAAGGTGAACAAAGAGATTGATATCCTGCCTGCAAGCAGTATGAAACAATAATCTACAATGTATGAAGTACTACATAAGGCAGGGATATCCTGCCTGTCACTTCATGTACCCTTAACTGATATTGTGTGGTAGCACATAGAATCGCAACAACTATTAAACTATACAATACAAACATGAGCTCCATTACATGCAGACAAAGGCTTATCTTGAAGAGAGAACCAAATTATCTTGGGAAAATTTAAACGGTAGTTACTATGCTCCTATACCTTTACAAAAACAAATCAGCTCAATCCCAACAAAGTAATAGAATGGACTGCTTTGAACTATTCAGCCCATAAAAAATGTAAAAAGTTTGACAAGCTATTCATCTACATAACAGAAAGGCCTTGAGAGTGATAGTATTTAGGCCCTTTCTACTAGTGCATCTATAGGATGCTCATCCACAGATAGAAATTTGATTCCCACAGGCAAACAGAGATAGCTTGCCTGTTACTTTGTTAGCATCGAGACACATTAGGCCAGTACTGGAAACAGAGACATAAATTAACTAGAATGCAGCTCTATTTGGGGGGCTCAATGATCCTTCAACTTTCAAGTATCACAAATGCCAAACAAATAAATTTCCTACTTGTTCAATTCATGTACTACCTGAATTTTTAGATGATGCACAACAGATTATGATAACTAGTAACTACCACATCTAATCTTCTTTCTGAGATGCACTGAAGAGTTGGGAAACCTACACGAGATGAAGGCATTGTTGGTTCCAGCACTTTTAGTTTTTCCTTTCAACCATCTTCTTTATTGAATTTGCTACAGGCATGACTCATGGGGATAAAGCTTAGCAATCAATTATCAAACTAACAAAATACCAAGGCCGAATCCAGACATGATAAGAACAAGCCAGTTCTTCACCCAAACCGATCTACCCTGTCTTTACAAGATTAAACCCTAAATAAACCCCAGAAATTCTCCAACAAGTCAAAACATGTCCCGTTCATCAAATCTAACCAACACAACCGAATCGCAAAATCGGAGCCCCCAACCACTACAGAAACACCCGAAACTAGATCTCAAGACGGCAAGAACCCAACCCCGTAACACACCAAACACTTTCTTGATTCCATAACAGCAAAGATTACCACGAGTTGCAATACCAAACCAGAATTCAAGAATCGCTAAGCTCTTACCATGCCGGGGAACTTGTGGGCTCTTTCCTCGTACTGCACCGACTGCACCTGCTCATCGGCGTCCACCTGCATCTCATCTTCAGACGCGTCGCAGCAAAGAACCAAACAAACAAAAAAAAAACAAGAACCAAAGCGAGGCGGCGGTCAGGTGGAGGAGGAGCACGGGGGAGGACGCGAAGAGGAGAGGGGAGAGTACCCTGGTCGTCGTCGGCGTCGCGGAAGAGGGAGGCGGCGGAGAAGAGGGCGGTCTCCATGGGCGTAGGCGTGGGCGTGGGCTTGTGCAGCTTTGGGTCTCGCTGCTCGTCTTGGCTTTGCAATGCCCTCTTCCTCGCGGTCGCGGGGCTCCACGACATCTCGGTCTCCGAGGGCAACATCGACATTTCCTATCTGGTTAACTAGTATCTTTATTATTATCTTCCGCTAAATAGGAGATTACTACTACTATCAATGTGCGATGGTTTGATACTCCTAGAGTTAGTTTTCTTCGTTTATTTCTTGGTGGCCTACTTGTTCAGATGTTGCTTGGGATGGGAGATTTTGATTTTGTAAAGTGGAGGCAGCTTCACTTTCATGATTTTGTTCTCTACAAAAAAAGCTAGTTGAAAAGAAGTATGAATGAAACTATGAAAGAAGCTATCCACGTTTTCCAGAGTAACCTGTGTTCTCATATCCACAATCGAGCTTAAATAGATTATAAATTATATTATTTTGTGTGTATAAGCCTGTAAGTGAGCCAAATTATACTGCTAGACTTAAAAAGTACAAAAGAAAATGTTTACATAAAAATATTCCCCCTGTTTTTAAATAACTGACAACGTGTGCTATTCACAGTTTCTCTTTCTTTTCTTTTCAAAATATTTACCAGCACTGACGTGTTATTAAAGTGTATTATGTCCTAAATATAAGCATGAAATTTTATTAGCTATGGTCTAACTATTTAAAAAAGTAATTGGTGGTCAAAGTTTAAACGGAAAAGACAAATTCATCAGTTATTTGTAAATGGACGGAGTGTATAAAAATACTTTAAATGCTCAGATGCATGTGATAGGTTGAGTGTGTGCACGTGTATATGGATATGTTTTGAAAAGAAAAATCTTAGTTACTTTCAGCCCCATCTTTTTGCTAATGATTACACTTATCAGCTAAAATTTGAATTTTTAACTTTAAATTTGGAGTTGATTTTTGGTTTTTTCATCGAAGTTTATCTTTCAGCCTTCACTTTTAGATCACTAAAAACACATATATAAAAGGTTTTTATTCACAAATTATTTTTCGTTTGCAAACTATTAACTTATTAACTAGGTTAAACCCCGCGCATTGCTGCGTGAATTTAGTATGATAACAATAAAAAAAATAGCATGTAAGATAGCTAGATAAAGATTAAGTAAATTAATGTGGTTTATGATAATTTAAATTTAAATAGTATGTAGAATGGTGATTCAAACATAAAAAGTAAAATGGTATGACTTTATGGAAAAAGAAAAGTAGGGAGATAGTTTGGACTGTAGATTAATCATTTAAAGGCTAAAAACAATTGTGTGATATGACTTAATTAGAGGAAAAAAAGAGAAAGATAATTTGGACCATAGATTAATCATTTAAGCACTAATTAACTAAGTGAGAATTAACTATATAAGTATATAGAATATCATAAAACACAATAAAGATATACATTAAAACATTATGTGAATTATGTTGGATGATAATTTAATATGTTTGTATTTGAAAAGCTCTGGAATTATAAAAAACTATAATGATATAACATGTTTGCATGATATTTAAATGTGATGATTGTTAGTAGATGATGATGTGGTATCTTGTTAATTAGTAGATGATGATGTGACATCTTGTTAGTGGATGATGATGTGACATCTTTGCATGTTAAGTTTAAAGAGTTAGTCGGAGATAACTTTATAGTAAGATAGATAAGCCAAATGACGGGGGGCCTTTGCAAACAGACTGAAGTTATCTCCGTACACGTACGCGCAAGGAAGAGACTGGTGGACCCAAAAGGCCCTCCGTGGGAGAGATAGGCTTAACGAGGCTCAAATACACCTAATTAGGCTCAATTGGACCCATCCTAAACGAGCCCCCTAATTAGTATCCTTAGCGAATACATGGCTCCCATGAGTTGAATGGTGAAATTTCAGGCCCAAATCTGACAATTGCCTATAGAAAGGAAGCGCACGTATGCGTCTTGCAGTATCAGAAATTCAAGAGAACTTTCTCAAAAACAGGAAATTCAAGACAAACCAGCACGTGACAATGGCCCAAGAAAGATCCTGCAATATGCAAATACCATTACATGGTAGCTTCTTTTTTACACGCTGTCTTAACAGCTTTTGCATACATAGGACGACATAGCGGTATATGTACATATACGGATGCACGTATGTACATACACTGATGCAAAATGACCCAAAGAACGCAAATTTAATTTACTAGTACCATCATATCTCTCTCTAGTCCTACTCTGCTGTAGCGTGGGGTAATTATCAAACGTAATACGTACTATGAACACACACCAAGCCAAGCCCCACGTCACTCGCACTGGCTGATCGATTGATCAATACTACTACTAATTTATGCTATATGCGATGGTCGAGGGGTTGTGGCGTTGTTCATGCGTTGCCGGTGGCGATCCGGGCGACGTGGAACTGCGGCGCGTAGTTCTGCGCCTTGCCGGCGATCTCCTCCTGCGGCGGCTCGTTCAGGAACGCCCAGTTGCTCCTCGTCCACCTATCCATCCATCACATCATCAGTTCATGAATTCTCATAAAAAACTCAAAATATAAGCATTTCTAATTTAAATTTAGACAACTGTGAGTTTAAATTTATAGAAAAAACTATTATATTTTAAGAGGGAAGTAGTATATAGATACTACTGTTGTGCGTACCAGTCGTGGCTCTTGCTGGGGCTCTCGGCGGCGGCGGCGTCGTCGTGGGGGAAGAAGCCCTCCACGCGAGTCGCCGGGTCGATACGGCCGCCGCGAGGCGACGAGGCGTGCGCCTTCGAGCGGCTCACCGGGGCCGACCGCGCCATGCCGCCGGCGGCGGGGGAGCCGAGCGGCGAGCCCGACATCATCTCGCCGCCGTGCTGCTTCCAGAACGCCTCCACCTCCTCCCTCGTCAGCGACTTGTTCCTCCTCGCAAGAACTACACATATATCCAAAAATCAAAGTCATGAGCAAATCATGCATGGATTGACACACATCTGCAGGTACGTAAATGAAAACTACGTACCTCTGTTCTCATCGCCAAGAACGGGTGAATCCCATCCAGCCATCAGAGACCCCATCTTTTAATTCACTACTCAGAGATAATTTCTCTGAATTTGGATCGATCGACAAAGTTGGTCTGATTTGTTATCCAGAAAGAACTGAAGATGAAATCAAGCTGAAGCTACTAGCTTGTATGATTAGTTATCAACTTTAATTTGCAGATGCAAATTGTAGCGAATGGATAAACAACGGAGAGAGCAGTGCAGTGAATGATGGCTAGGCATCGATCCGATCCAGTCGTTTTATATACGCAATTGACGCTTGACTTTGGAGCGATTAAAGCGGCACTAGTGCAGGGGCAAAGCACACAGGTTTTATAAATCAGAGTGGTTTCATCTCCAAAACCTTGGACTACTGAATATGTCGTTGTCTGGTTCTTGCCCAACTTAATCTCGTGGCCTTCTCCCAGCCGTCCGATTGTGGTTAGCCTTTGATCGGACGGTGCGTGACCGAGTTAGGAAGCTTAATCGGGGACGAAACATGATCGAGTAGCCAGCTAGGCCCGTCCAATTAGGTGGTGTGTAAGCAGCAAGGAGACATGCTCGTACTGACTGATCAATAAACAAAGTTGCTGGGCCTATCTCTCCACGAAATATCTATCGAACTATCTAGCCTTTTCTGAGCGAGAAAAAAAATATCTAGCATGGCCTTAATTAAATTCACGGGGTTTTGGTTTGATTAGGATGTGACGACGTGTACAGTAGTGAAGTCCAGTGGACGGATAGACTTGACAGTCCATCGTGTAGCCTATAACCGATTGCAAGTTGTAAAAAAAAGTTGTAACATTTATTAACGACTAAGGATAAATTATGAGCAAAACTATAATAATAATATTTAATACTATTTTTGTTTTTAATATAGGACATTGTTGATTTTACATTTATCTTATTTAAAAATATGTAATTACTATTTTTTCCTGTAAGTTATTTATAAAAAACTCTAAACATGATTTATATCTTATATATGCATTTGCACAAAAATAAAATAATAAGAATGGTTAGATGGGTGAGGCAAACTAAAAGTGTTATCTATAAAAAGGGAAAGAGTATATGTGTTATTGACGACTAATTAAGTTCATGCTACAAAATAAATAACGATATCAAAATTAACTTTAGAATTAATATTTAGTTTTAAAATTTTGATTGTGATCATAATCTGAAAATGGAAAAGATATACTCCCTCCGTTTCAAAATGTTTGACACCGTTGACTTTATAGTACGTGTTTGACCATTTATCTTATTCAAAAAATTTAAGTAATTATTTATTTTTTTATATCATTTGATTTATTGTTAAATATACTTCATGTACACATATAATTTTACGTATTTCATAATTTTTTTAATAAGACAAACGGTCAAACATATGTTAAAAAGTCAACGGTGTCAAACATTTTGAAGCTTAGGAGTACAAAGTACAGCGATGGATGGATAGGCGTTATCCGTTGCTGCCGTGCCGGAGGGGCACACACGTCGCTGCGTCAGTGGCTACGCGGCCTCGTCATCCTGTGCTCGATCAATAATCTCCAGAAGCCGCTGGTTAATTACTTAATTAGCAGTGCGGGTTAAGGTCGTTCTTATCTGTTAGCTTCCCAGGTGCATGCACTAGCTGTCTACCACTGTAGCACGTACGACAATGGGTTAGTATATATGCGGCACAGCTAGCTAAGAATATGGGCCTTTTTGTTTTTACTCGGTGTAAGATCGAATTGATCTGGGTTGTGCACGGACACTGTTTTATAGCGTGGCACGAGTCTATTTGCTGGATAATTTGGGACTCACATCTGTCACAGAGGCAGTCAGGCAGTACGTACGTAGTAGGAGAGTATAAATTGGGAGTACCCCATCCTTAAAAAAAAATTTAATCGTAACTATAAACCTGGACACATGCGTGTCTAAATTTATTGTTAGGATTGGCTTTTTTTAGGGAGTAGTACTTGTGGACAAGACTCGGCAAGTGATTATATCGATTGAAATTTTTCGGTTTTCTCAAATTTTAAAGAATTTGGTCAAATTATGTTAAAATTTAAAAAAATCAGTAAAAAAGTGTTAAAAATACCGAAATTCTGGCCATTTTGGCTCTACCGAAATCAAAATTGAAAACCCTGATAGAGAGTATTGAAATGTAAGCCCCTAGGCCATGGCTAGGGAATAATTAACCTCTTATATAATACTAGCCTCAATATCTCGTGCTAAAAGAAAATATTTACCATATGGCCAAATAGCGTATGCCTATATATACTACTAGTACTCATTTAGAATTTTATTCTAATTTTTCACCTGGTCCCCACTGAAACTCTCCTTTGGGATACTATTTTTATCTTTTCATCCATGTTACGCCCGTCTTATATATATATCAGATGAGATGAAAAGACACAAATTACCATAAGGACCCACATGTCAACTCCCTGCACACTCTTCTTCCTTCCCCATTCTCCTTCTTCACTCATATGTACAGCATCTCTTAAAACTAGCTTAAGATTAAATTCTTAATAATATATAATATCACATTAATTCGAGCTACACATGGAGAGAAAAGGACTACGTAATAATGAATCCAATTGTGAAATCAAGCCAACGTTGTATATACTTTTTCTCCTTATGCGTACGTTCATTGAATTTTTGACATTATATTGCACGTTTACGAAGAGATTTATATCTATTATATACTAAAAATTCATTAAACTTCTTACAAACGCTTCTAAGCCGCCACGTGGTATCCTATAAACGCTACTAAGTCGTCACGTAGCACTATAATTTAGAAAAATTTATAAAAATTCTCTAGCCATTGATTTTCATTAAATTAGGTGGACCCATTATTTACCACCATTAGATTTATCTTTTAAAAAATTGCCTAACCCCCAAACCGAGTCCACCATGGGCCGTACGTATTACTATATGTATACATACGTATTTTTAAGGATAGTACGTACGTACGTACTTCCATCCCTTCCCTCAATTTCTTCATATTTTTGCACACATTTATTCTCCTATTATCATACTTTATTAGTTAGAAAAAAAACTCTTGTGCTGAACAATTCCACAACTATAACATCTAAAAATCATACCACAAATTTTTAATCCGCCATTGACAATATAGTTTAACTGGCTTACTTATTGATAAAATTATGGTTCACGTTCACCTTGAAGAGCACGACTATATCATGGGACACATGAATAAGGCATTAGAGAAAACTCCTTAGCGGCTATAGTCGGCTTCACCCGATTGTCAGAGGAGCATTCATATACAAGTTTAATTGTTTTATCCTATTAATTGGTAGAAGCGGTATTTTTAAATATTTATATATAAATTTGGACATCTGTGAGACATGGGCACTTGGGTATGATGTGGAGATTAACTTTTTATGGTATTAATGATGTATTTGGTTTATTTTTTTGATACAACTGCAATTCTATCTATTAAAACGATACTCATGTTTCAAGACAATAAAAATAAGTTGTGGTGAATGCCGAATTTATATATAATCGGGATAAAGTGATTTTTGGTTGGATATGATAACCATTCTGATCATTTAGTACATATCAAAATCTATGGTCTATTTATTATAGTGAATATGGTGAGATATTGCTTCTTTTAGTATTGTTTTTATAGATAAAAAATAAATTGCCCGCGCATCTGCGCGGGCATCCGTCCTAGTTGTATAAATTTAATTTCGACACTTTTAGTAAATATTTAGACGGCATATACACATGAAATAAATACAATTGCCATTTGAGATATAATCCAAAATAGTTTCTGGACCTACAGTACGTGTTCCCTCGCTCATATTATTGCTGGGAGTAGGGGTGAAAACGGTATGAAAATTTCCGAGATTTTCGGTTGCCGTTTCCAGTTTACACTGACCGTTTCAGTAACCGACAGTGGTGGAAATGGAAACGGTAATATCTTCTGGAAATGGTAGCGGGAATGGGATGGAGGTTTTTCCGACCGTTTTTGTCGGTAACCGTATTTGTATGGTAATTTCCATCAAAATTCCGGAAAAAATCCGAAAGTTCTCCAGCGACTCAGCCTGGCCAACCCATCGAAAGCCCATGAATGAAGTCTGGTAGGCTTGCAATCCATAAAAAAAGGAGAAGTGACCAGGAAAAATGTTGTTAACCCTATGACATGGCATGTGGATTTTGCTGAACTTTGGTCTCCTCGAGTTATCGATGTTGAAGTATTGTAGAACTTTGTTTATATTGTTCGTCAAGCTTATTATCCTATCATTAACCATCATATAATAATGTTATGTGGAGTGTGATGATGCAAGAATAATATTAAAGACATTTACGTGCATAGTTAAATGTGTGCTATGCCACACTCCGCTGATTCCGACATGAATTTCGACTTTCCGATATACCGATATTACTGATCGTTACCGTTTTCGAGTCTACCGTTCCGATTTCGTTTTCAAGAAAAATATCTGAAAATGAAAATGGTATATGGTTTTTCCGACCGTTTTCATCCCTAGTTGGGAGAAGAGGAAAAAAAAAGAATGAACAGTGTAACACAGTTGAAACAGTGCAAATGATTTTTAGTTTTTTACATATATATATATATATATCATACATTAAGAAGTCACAGAACTACTCACACACACACACACAAAGTACAGTCTTAACACAATTAACTATCTATATAGGAGAGACTAGAGAGAGTATATACATGAGCAGTATCTGTATTTACACGGAGAGCTGAAGGATTAAAAGCTCTCGAACGCCGGCCCGATCCTATACACTTCTCTACTGCTCTTTGTATAGTAATATTCTACACATACAAATTGCATGCGTACTTAACCACTACTACAGAACACACTACTCTCTTAGAGGATCAGGACGATGCAGAGCTGCAAAGCTAAGCTAGCTAGCTAACCAGCCTAAGTACTAACGTATATACGTACGTACATACGTACATGCATATGCATTCCCTGACATGTGGCTAGCTATAACTAGCTGAGGCCTAGGCGTTGCCGGTGACGACCCGGGAGACGTGGAACTGAACGCAGGCGTACGTCTGCGACTTGCCGAACATCTGCTGCTCCGGCGACGGCGTCTCGTTCAGGAATGCCCAGCTGCTCCGTGTCCACCTATACCAAATTAACATCGTATAATCAATTAATTATTGGCCGGTGAAACATCAGCTGTTAATTAAATAAATTTAAGTATACGTACCAGCACTCGCTGCTGGTGCTGGCGACGTCGTCGTCGTCGTCGTCATGATCGGCAGCGAACGACGACCGCTGATGACGATGGTCGCCGGCGTGAGGAGCCGCCGGCGACGGCGGCTCGCTGTGGGAGTACGACTGGTACGGGTGATCGTCGGCCCTCGTCATGACGGTGCGCGCCAGCGGTGACGGCATGGAGTTCATCCTCTCCAGCCTCCTCAACGCCAACGTGCAACGACTACTACTCATCTCCTGCTGCTGCATGAGAGAATTAATTATATTAATTGATTAATTCAGTCCAAGAATATATCGATGCATGTTTAATTAGTTTAATTACATACCGCGCGGCCGGGAGAGGCGGCGAGCGGCGAGATGTCGCCGGCGGCGCGGGGTGATGCGAGCGGCGAGACGACGTTGGCGGCGGCGCGGGGAGAGGCGAGCGGCGAGGTGGTGGCGTTGGGCTCCGACGACGTCGACGACGACGGTGGCTGCTTCCGTTGCTGGCGCCTCCAGAACGCGTCCACCTCCTCCCTGGTCAGCGAGCGGTTCCTCATCAGCCGAACTATACTCAACAAAAACAGATCAAATTAATTAATTACAGATCGATTGACCGATCAATACATATTGAATTATTTGTGTGGGTATATATAACTAAGGAAATAATCTTCCCATTCAGTTCGTTATCGTCGATCGATCATATTGTTAATTTGTTGCATGTACCTTTCTTCTCATCACCAAGAACTGGTGAGTTCCAGCCAGCCATCAGAGAACCCATCTCTGATAGGAGTATTCAATTCTCAGGTCGAGATGGACAAAGAAAGTGATGGATGAGAAATGATGATAGAGATGATGATCAGCCCCAGTGGATCTGTACCGTTTTATAGGCGCTCGCGCATACACATCCAGTGTTGGGGCTCGCTCCACTAGGAGCTGATGGAGCAACAAGTGAGCTGTAGCACACAGGTTGAACTGAAAACCTGCGGCGTACGTGCAGCTAGCTATACTCGTAGCACTGATCGCCTAATTTGGCAATCGTATCGATCGCAACGACGATATATACGTGCAGGTGCGCATAGGTACGTGCACTGAGCAAATCCATATCACTTACTCGATCCGTTCTAAAATATATGAAACACATGGTAGTACTGTCCAAATTCATAGTAATAATAATATGATGTGATGTCTATCTATATCTGTTAATTATTATATATGACTGCTGTTACGTTTTTTTTTATAACGAACCGCTGTTAGACAGTGCACGTAGATATGAATTGTACAGTAACTAAGCCAGATATAGATAACACGGTGACGAAGTTGTAACAAAAAAAGAGCGATACGTGCATTGCATGCAACGACGCAAGCTGGAGGGGGCCAAATGGATGGATGGATGGATGTTTGTGCAGAGAGGTTGGTTGTGACGATATGGGGACGCGCGCGCGCGCCGAGTAGAGTGGAGTGGATAGGCTTGAGCTGGATTAGCTTAGCGCGCGGGCGGTCGCGCGCAGCGATCGATCGATCGTCGTTATCCCGAGGTGGCAGCGGCAGCTAGCTAGTGCGCGTGAGCGTGCGCGCGCGTGGCGTAAGACCCTGCAGATTACGACGAGACGAGACGACGTCTCTGTGCACCTGGAGAGCCCCATGCCGGCCGGTGCCCCGGCACATGGCGGCGCGCCACTGGTTGGGTTAGCGTCACGCGTCACGTCACCCGTTGGCGCCGTTCTTATCGATCAGCTAGGAGCCCGTACCATACCGGGCCGGGCCGGACAGGACGGCCCGCGCGCGCGCCTATCGTATACTAGTTGTGTTGTGTAGTACGTACGTGTTCAGTGCAACGGTGCAAGACGCCAACTAAGGGCGAAAACGCTAATCCGCCACCAGTCGCGCGACTGGACACGTGTTGCGCGTGGAGAGAAACGGCGGACGGCGCGTGTACGGTATTCTTTTTTTTTGTTTTTTTCTTCCTGCGCGTGTACGGTTTCTTTTTTTTTTCCGTTTTTTCTGTTTTCTTCCGTATTTTTGGTTTCTTTTTCCTTTGTTTTCGTTTTTTTGTTTTCTCCCGTATTTTTGGTTTCTTTTTCTTTTTTTCTTTTTTATCGTTTTCAGTTTTTTTCGGTTTTTATAAAGTTTGTATACGTGTATATAAAGTTTGTATATGTGTACATAAAGTTTGTATACATGTATATAAACTTTATATACGTTTATTTTTTTGATTTTTATATGTATGTGTACAAAGTTTGTATACACATATATAAAGTTTATATACAGGTATACAAAGTTTATATACACGTATACAAAGTTTGTATACGTGTACATAAAGTTTGTATACGTGTATACGAATATACGTGATGTTTTTTTTATATTTTTTAATATGTACGTATATAAAGTTTGTACACATTGTATATAAAGTCTGTATACATCATATATAAAGTTTATACACGTTGTATACAAAGAGTTTGTATGTGTGTATTTTTTTATACATAAAAAATATACATATAAATATATAAATAAATAAATAAATAAATAAATAAATAAATATATAAATATATATATATATATATATATATATATATATATAATACTAGTAGTAGTATAGAAGTAGTAGTACTAGTAATAGTAGTATAGTAGTAGTTATAGTAGTAGACTACTAGTAGTACTAAGAGAGTAGTACTGTAGTACCAGTGGGGGCTGGTCATGCGCCTGGGGGCCGCGCGACTAGTCACGGATTAGCCCCCCCCCCCGGGGGCCCCTTTGAATCGCAGGGTTGAAAAATAGAGGAATAGGAAAAACACATGATTCTGATAGAAATTGAAGTGTAAAACAGAAGATTGCAAAATACAGAAAAAACATGAATGATCGTTTGATTGGAACGCAGGAAAAACACAGGAATCGGATGAGAGAGATAGACTCAAAGGAAATTTTCCAAGAGGTTGGAGCTCTTGTTATATTTCCTCCAAAATCCACATGCAATGTGCCATTCCATAGGAATTTCATGGGATTTGAAAATCGTCAATCCTTTGAATCAAATGGCCAAATAGGAAAATTTCGTATAGGATTTGAATCCTATGAAAATCCTATATAAATCCTTTGATTCAAAGGGCCCTAAGTTTCGTACGTGTGCAACTGTGCATCCAGCACGTACTACTACGTACTCCTATGTACTTGTAGTGGTGTAGCCTATACATATGCATGAAGCGTTCCAGGAAAAATAGGAGTCTCAGTAATTTGTGCAGGCATGCGGCCCATGGAGTAATAGACCATGCTGAATAATTTCAGTTCAAATTTCATACTCCAACTGTAATACCATACGCAAACCATCAACTTACAATACTGATATACTTGACATTTCAAAATAACATAGCCTTTGGTTTTAGCTGACGTAGCGACTGAGTAAGCTAGCACGAGGCTCATATGGGTCCCACATGTCAGCGGCCCAATCTTCTTCCACATCTCTCCTCTCTTCCCAATCCTAATCTCTCTCCATGCCTCTAGGGTGGTGGGGGTGGGAAGAAGCTCGACAGCGGTGGCCAACACATACGCAAGGAGAAGCTCGAGGACTGCAAGACGACTTTCTTTTCGCCTACCACTGGAAGGCAACACCTTGTTTCCCTGCCTTCTAGTTGAGCGAGGACACTGAATGCATGGAGGTGTTGTGACCCAAATCTACGGCAGAATCCCTCGCCGGAAGTTCGCCGGAGATCTAGCAGAGAAGAGGCGAGAAGAACAGGGTAGAAAGGGGAAACACGAGGAAGCAGCTGGGGAGGAGGATATTTTTCATTTCTTTCATGAATTGTTTTCTCAATACAGCTGGAGTATATATACTCACGCACTCCACCCCTCTTGCCCTTAGGGCCCACCTTGTCATAGACACTTCTATCTATAAAGAGTAGAAGATGTATTCACTTCTGAAAAGCGTCAATGTAGAATACGCCTTCACCCTGTTGCTCGCCATTGCCGACACGCTGATCGCTTCACACATCAGTCGTGACATTCGCCCCTCCTTGAGTCGGAGCTTGGCCCCAAGCGACGGCAGATGGAAACCTGGTGTGCACCACATCGAAGTCCTCCCAGGTCGCCAAAGCAGCAGGCAAAGTACCCCACTGAACCAAAACTTGAAAAACGGCAGCATTGCCCTTTTTCACCATGTGGCGATCCAAAATTGCCGTAGGCACCAACTCTGCAATGTCCAACTGAGCAGCAGACGACAATTGAGAAAACACTGGAGAATACTTGGGAACATACTTCTTCAACTGAGAGACATGGAAAACCGGATGAATTAAACTACCAGCCGGCAACTTCAAACGATAAGTCATCGAGCCAACAGATGCTTCAATCTCAAAAGGACCAAAGTACTTAAACGCCAGTTTAGGAAATGGTCTGGACACAACAGACTTATATGCATACGGTTGTAACTTAAGAAGTACTGACTTCCCAACTTGAAAAGCACGATCTGAGCATTTGACATCAGCCATTTGCTTCATTCTATTTTGAGCACGAGCCAAATGATGTTTAAGCAAAGCAGAAAACATATCTCTTTCCTTTAGGACTGCATCAGCTTCAGATGAGTCAGAAACATCATCCTCAGATTCAGTCACGGGAACAGCCGGCAATATCCCATAAGTTGGCTCACTCCCATATAAAGTTCGATGAGGAGAACACTGCAAAGAAGAGTGATAGCTAGTATTGTACCAATACTGAGCAAGAGACAGCCATGCACACCACTTAGTTGGAACTGCAGCAACTGCACAGCGTAAATACATCTCCAAACATTGATTCACACGCTCCGTCTGGCCATCGGATTGTGGATGATAAGCAGTGGTCAAATTCAAAGGAATCTCAAACCTTTTAAACAGAGTTTGCCAAAACTTGCTAGTAAAAATCTTGTCTCTATCGGACACAATAGACTTAGGCATGCCATATAATGCCGCAACATGAGTCAAATAAGCTTCAGCCACTTGTAATGCAGTGAAAGTGTCAATTAGGCCTAAAGGGGGGGGGGTTGAATAAGCTAATTCAAAAATTCAATTAAAAGCGGAAGCAGTAATTTTCGGATATTTCCGAAATTTTCGAATATATCCAAAAATTTTCGGAGTCAGCACTGAAAGTGCATCTAGGCCCCTAATGATTTTGGTGATTAATTACAATGCGATTAGAGAGGACTAACATTTTTATTTAAGCAAATGTGAAGTTTGTTATGTTCTCAATGAGTTACCGTAATGCATATCCCGCCAAATACGTTGATGTGATGTGATGCGGCAAAGGAGCAAATGGTATATTGTAACTTTTCTTTTCATTTGAGTCAATAGGAATGCCGCACTATTAAGAGGGATGATGCATTGACATATGAGGAGTGATCAAAGTGCTCAAAATCTTTTTTTAAAAGTGTTTCCCCTCAGTTTGATATGTTCTGGAAATTTTTGGAGTTTTCCGAAAGTCATTTTCGGACTTTCCGAAAATGCACAGAACCAATTTTCGCTTCTGGAAATTTTCGGATATGTCCGAAAGACATTTTCGGACTTCCCGAAAATGACTGTGAAGGCAAATGTGGTTCTGTTTAGTTTCGTACTTTTCCGAAATTGATTTTCGGAGTTTCCGAAAAACTTCAGCAAAGGCAAAAATCGCTTCTGTGTATTTTCGGACTTGTCCGAAAGTGATTTTCGGACTTTTCCGAAAACATCCAGAACCATGTTTTGGTGGTGGAAATTTTTGGACTTATCCAAAAAATTTTCGGAATGTCTGAAAAATCTTTCGTTGACTTTGCTGTTGGTGCTGAGCTGGAATTTTCGGACAAGTCCGAAAATCTTTCGGAATATCCGAAAATCTCAATTATTGTGCATAACGGGCAGAATTTGGGCTGTGGCTATAAATAGCCCCCTCCCCTCACTTGTGAGGGCTGCTGGTTCCATTCCAATCATTTGTGCCCTTGGCTTGCTCTCTCTTTAGCACTTTTGAGCCTTGCTTTCTTGTTTCCCCTCTCACCCGTGTTCGATTTGGATTTGGTGTGTGTGTGTGAGAGT